TTTTTCAAGGGGATACCTCATGATTGGCTCAGTTACTCAATAATATAATTGTTTGGATGGTACTCTTTTGTGAGCACCAACTTTTGGGAGTGAAAAAAAAAACCTTTCTCCACCTTTCTTTGGGTAAAGCTGGTCCTTTCACTTTAGAAAGCCATAGTTGTGTTAAAATTTTAAAATGCAAGGTTTCCCAAATAATCAGATGCCTTATTAAACCCTTATTTAAAAACAGCACTCAGACAATTTTTCAAGGGGATACCTCATGATTGGCTCAGCTACTCAATAATATAATTGTTTGGATGGTACTCTATTGTGAGCACCAACTTTTGGGAGTGAAAAAAAATAAAAATAAATTAAAAGTAAAAGTGAAAACAATTGAAAGTAAATTGAAAGTGAATTAAAAGTAAATTGAAATCAATTGAGAGTAAATTGAAATCAATTGAAAGTAAATTAAAAGTAAATTGAAATCAATTGAAAGTAAATTGAAATCAATTGAAAGTAAATTGAAATCAATTGAAAGTAAATTGAAATCAATTGAAAGTAAATTGAAATCAATTGAAAGTAAATTGAAATCAATTGAAAGTAAATTGAAATCAATTGAAAGTAAATTGAAATCAATTGAAAGTAAATTGAAATCAATTGAAAGTAAATTGAAAGTAAATTGAAAGTAAATTGAAAGTAAATTGAAATCAATTGAAAGTAAATTGAAATCAATTGAAAGTAAATTAAAAGTAAATTGAAATCAATTGAAAGTAAATTGAAATCAATTGAAATCAATTGAAAGTAAATTGAAATCAATTGAAAGTAAAATAAAAGTAAATTGAAATCAATTGAAAGTAAATTGAAATCAATTGAAATCAATTGAAAGTAAATTAATTAATTAAAAGTAAATTGAAATCAATTGAAAATAAATTGAAATCAATTGAAAGTAAATTGAAATCCTTTCTTAAGTTGATTGACCAAAAAAATGTTGAGGGGAGGCAAAAAAAAGTGCGAGTTATAGAGTATCCTCAAATTGTTTGGGGGGGGGGCCCTCACACTAATCAGAGGCACACATTAGTGTTGTTGTTTGCATTCCTTTTTTGTTGCTCCATTTTTTGTTGCGTTTGCTGATGCCTGGTACCAGCCTGTTCCCAGTCACGAGCTTGGTAGCAGCGAGGATCGAGATGCAAATGGTGAACAAGATGCTGTTGGATCAGATTGAGACGAAAGACAACTCATCAGAGGTGTCCCAAACGGACGGTTTAGTTTACTGGTTGGTGGTTTTAATATATTGGGAAAATTCATCCCAACTGACTAATATTTTTCAGAGGGATTGAAGCCACCAACCAGTTTAGTTTATGGCTGTTTACAGTATTAGACACTGCGAAAGCCCATGGCTGTCATGGTTTTTGATCCGAAAAAATAAAAAAGGTTTTCAAGCTGCCAGGCTGCCAAGTCAAATCAGCATCAAAATGAAGATAGATATCTACCATAGCTGGATGATATCCTGTCATGGGGATGGAATTGCGAAAACGGACGTTGTACTTACTTTGAATGTCTTTAAATACTTAACATTCATAAAACTAGTAGAACCCCCAGTGACCTGACAGGGCATAGCTGGATTGCCAAGATCAAAGATGAAGAAGGAACCGGCGCTGTCCAGCGGACAGTTTCTTAGACTTGAGACCTTTTAAGAACACCTCTGATTTTTGTTTTTTTGCAACTGTCAGCGTCAAGGGGCAACCTTCCATTTTTTGATATTTTTGGGCACGTTTGAACCATAGCCACAATGGCATTATGATGGTGATGATAGAGGATGACGCTGGTGGTGATGATGATGACGGATATTTCACGGATTTCCGTCCTGATGAGCAGTGCAGAGTAGCAGGTCACGGCCACTCGCAGACTCTGAAATCGCTGAAAGGTACTGTAGGTCTTTGGTCTCAACATGTCTGAAACGCGTAATTGAAGTTGTTTACTTGCATACATATTTACTTTTACGAATTATTTATATATTTCTTTGTTTTACCATGTAATATTCACATTGAATACACACACCGGATAAATTAAACATGCTGGATGAGAAAAACATATGAAGTGAATGTTTTAACGCTAAGGAGGTGTCGAAAGATCCTTTTTCATGCATTTCTTGATTTTCCAGCGGGTTCGTATTGAGATTTGAGCAGGGGTGCATGTTCAAACAACGGTTTTCCCTCTGAGGTCCATGATCGTTTTGGGGGGTGAAAGGAGGATTTCACATCCTGCCAGCAATCTGCGCACCAGTTCTGTGAGCAATTGGTCGCGACAGATTGCTGATGGCTCGATGTTTTGTTTTCTGTAAATACAGAACGTTCTACCCAGACCCTCCAAGTACACAGAATTTGCATATTATCCATTCTTATCCCATGGTTTTAGTACTTTTATACCTATTTTTAGAGATACATGGCACAATGGTATTATCCCATTATTATCCAGCTACTAATTATCCATTATTATCCCAGTATTATCCCATTAGTATCCCATAGGAGTCTAGATCCGTTTCTCTCTTTTTAAAGAGATGAGAGCGGACTTCAGGTGGCCTGTCGCTGGGTGAATGCCAATGAGAATCTGTGGAAATCATGGCTGCCAGACTCTCGCCGCACCAGTGACACCCAGTTGGATGAAAGGTATATTGTATACATAATTACACATATTATATCATATTATTATGTATTAGACATTATATATATATATGTGTGTATTATACATTATATTTTGTATAAGTTGTGATGTGCACCCAATGCCATAAAACATCACCAAAATCACCAATTTTATGGGTGGTGTAAACCATCCCCACATGGTATATATATGTATATGTATATATATATATATATGTATATGATATATGTATATGTATATAGTTGTTTATGGCATTCGATTGATACGGCGCCCTTGAAAGGGTTGCAAATTTCGAGGATACCATTCCCTACGTTGTTCATGAGTGTTCATGCTACATCACTGGAGGCACCTTGAGATTGGATTGTACGTTACGCTCAAGATGCGGCAAGTCACGGATGGGGTGGGGTTGGGGGGTGGCCACGGTGGGGCGGGACGGGATTGCAACACGTTCTTGGTGCTATGAAACGATATGTCTTCAGACAGAAGCTCTGGGACAAAAAAAACCGGCACATTGTTGCTGGGACTCAGCATGACTCAGCAATTGGATTCAACCGGGACATCTCAAGAAGTGGCGGCCCATCAACTTTCCCCATCAAACGGAAGGTGAACCCGGTGAGAGATATGTATGCACTTGGACTTGGAGACACAAAACAAGGACCTGAAAGCAGCGTTGTGCGCGGCTCTTCTGGGCTTGAGGAAAACAAGGCCCGTTTGACAAACGCATAAATGCACGAGTCGAAATCCTCAAAACCTAATGTTATTGTTCAAAGAAAACCGGTATAATTAGCACTTCGCTCAGCGCAACCACCTAGGCAGGCCACACGAAATCAAATTGGATCTTGTGAACTCATGTTACGGACTCCAACAAATACCACGTTTTTTCCACCACAACAAAGTCATTCAAAAATAATCGGCCACCCTTCCAAGGGCGCCGAATCAACCGGTTAACCTTGTTTCTGGTGCCGGCGCCTGTAAGGGCCCCGAGCTGTTGTGTAATTTTGAAAGGTGTTGGGGGGTTGTTTCCGGGAGGGGGTCGGGGTGGGGGGGGCAATAACGTCCACTTGCCTGATTTCTTTGATAGCAGCTTTCTTGGGATAGATTTGCAACTTATTGCGCTGTCGCTTCATGGTCCTCGGTTCTGCTACGTTAAATTTCTTTCCACTGTGGGGTTGCTATGCTTATGCTACTTTCTGGTCCTTTTCACTGTGGGTTTGTTACGCTTATGCTATGTTGTGGCTTCCTTTTCGCACTGGGTTTGTTATGCTTATGCTACGTTGTGGCTTCCTTTTTACTGTGGGGTTGTTACGCTTATGCTACGTTGTGGCGTCCTTTTCACTGGGTTTGTTACGCTTACATTGTGGCTTGTTTTCACATAGGGATTTCTTTTCGTTGCTGCATCTATGGTGCATTTTAGCATTGTGGAATTAATGGAACTCGGTATGTTTTGCAACCTCTCAGTTTAATTCTGGTTGTCGATGAATGTTTACTTGTGGTGACCGCGGCGAAAAGATTAAAAAAAACTGCGTCGCAGACATGATGGGCCAAACATCTTCTGGCACGGAACACAATTCTTACCGCCATTTGAAAAAATGACGAATGAACCTTCTTTTTGGGAGTTTCAACTGCAAAATGTCGAGTTCGTGCTAGCAACATGACCAAACCTGAGGTAAATTCACTACCGTTACAGTACGAAGGGACATCCAAATGTCAAAGTTACAGATCCAACCATGCAAAAACTGGGAATTTTGTATGATGGACTATAGAAAGCAATCATGAAATATCATGAAGACGTTCAAGGCCGCGGGCCTCTTACAGGCGCCGCCACCTTCTTTATGGAATTGGCATTGGGTTGCCCACCCACAGAAGAAAATAACAATTCAATTCTGGAGGAAATTTGATACTGTGCTTGGAACGAAAAGACAAGACACTGGGGTTGGTTTCCTTCAAATCCTCGAACGGAGGGCCGCGCAAACCAAAACCAAGAATAGTCAGATGTGGGTCCGTGGGAGCATGATGCTTATCCATGCTTGCACTGCCAGAACTTACATGGATTTTTACCATCCCGGTATGTGTTGTGATAGCGAAAACATGAAGAACTCCTCGAAATTGTCACAGGCACAAAGGTTTTAGGGTTGTTTCTGACGACAAGTAGACATGATATGGGAAACATGCAGATGTTTCGAAATGCTTCAATTTCTGTGTGTCCAGCTGTTAGTGGTAACGAGGTCCTTTACCTGTGAATACATGTGAGATGTCAAGGAAAAATCCTTCAACCAATGCGTGTCTTCAGACCATCAAATGTCCGATGTTCCGTAGCTATCCGGACTTTAGAAGGCCTTGTTGTTTTCCCCTTTTGATTTGTTATGAAGCAACCAGCATTTGAATTCTATCCCATTCTATCTCTACATTTTGGGGCCTTGGTGTTGCACTCTCTGGTTTCATGTGGTTTCCGTGAACTCGAATCATCGCTGACTGAAGCTGGCCTCGAGGATGTGACCCAATGCTATGCCGGCTTCGGTTTGTACCATGAGGCCACCAATCAGCCACTTGGCGAGGCGATTGCGTCGTTTCACCCAACATCTTTGACTATTTTGAATACCTAGATGTAAGATGATGTAAGATGGAACGTTATTTTTATGGGATTACTGTAGATTATTTTCTAGATGATTCAATCTGTGTTTTGTTGTTCCCCACATTGACGTGTGGGGTTTTTGTTTTTAGTGCTGTATCCGCTCCTTCTCCTCCTCCTCCTCCTCCCGCCTGTCCACAAATCCTCACTCACACATATCTCCCTCACACATACATCACACAATCACACACAGCCTCATTCGCACACACAAGCAATCACTCACTCACTCACTCACACACACACACATCACTCACACTACACATACATCACGCACCCCAATTACACACACCACACAGCACCCCAATTACACACACCACACACTCATCACTCACTCCACTCCACTCCACTCCACTCCACTCACATATCACTCACACGCACACATCCCAGACACAATCACTCGCACACACATCACTCACATCACTCTGCCGGTGGCTTTTGCGTGGCAGGTGCGGCGCTTGGTGCTCTGCGAGCGGTCGGATGGCGTCGCAGGTGCGAGCCGGTGGCTTTTGCATGCCGCACCACTTGGTGCTCTGCAAGGGGTCGGATGTACGCCCTGGCGCCCCTTGCTCTCCGCCGCTCTGCCGGTGGCTTTTGCGTGGCAGGTGCGGCATTGTGCGGCACTTGGTGCTCTGCAAGCGGTCGGATGTATACGCCCTGGTGTCCCTTGGTGTCGTCTGCAAGCGGTCGGATGGCGTGGCAGGTGCGGCACTTGGTGCTCTGCAAGCGGTCGGATGTACGCCCTGGCGTCCCTTGGTGCTCTGCAAAAGCCACCGGCAGAGCGACGGAGACCAAGGGAAGCCAGGGCGTGCATCTGACCCCTGCAGAACCACGCAAAAGCCACCGGCAGAGCGGCGGAGACCAAGGGACGCCAGGTGCGGCACTTGGTGCTCTGCAAGGGGTCGGATGTACGCCCTGGCGTCCCTTGGTCTCCGCCGCTCTGCCGGGGCTTTTGCGTGGCAGGTGCGGCGCTTGGTGCTCTGCAAGCGGTCGGATGGCGTGGCAGGTGCGGCACTTGGTGCTCTGCAAGCGGTCGGATGTACGCCCTGGCGTCCCTTGGTGCTCTGCAAGCGGTCGGATGTACGCCCTGGCGTTCCTTGGTCTCCGCATCATAACCTCACGTCACATGCAACAAGATAAGTATATTTCCGCTTGCATACATTTACATTTATCACTTCACACACACACATACACATACGTATAACATCCGCATGTACATCACATATATTACAAACTGCCTCTTACACCCGGTACACATATCGCTAACACTACCAAAGTGAGACACCTGTACATGCACATGCATTCATACACACAAAAAACCCACCATCACCCCTCCATCACTCTCATACTTCCTCTTCCCTTGTTGCTTTTCTATGCTCAGTCTAAGTCTGGAGAAGTTGTTAACATGTGGGGCTATCCCGTCCTATAATTCCAAGTTCCACCTTTAAAAAAGATGCGGTGTATCCAACGTGAGACAGGATGAGCTCGCATTGCGTCTTGCCTAGTCTGAAAAGGGAACCGCACCCGCCAACCCCAGATTGGTCTTTTCGCAGTAAATCATTAAATTTTCAAATAGATATTGCAAACAACGATGACTTCCATCCGAACATGATCCACAAATGGTGAATGGTCCCGTTGTTTTTTTTTAAGAAGAGGGTCAAGTCCCGTTGAGCCCCCCATCGATAGTTCTTCCCCACCTGCCAGGTGAGGGTTGTTAGATTTTATCAGAGCTGTTCTCCTCCTCCTCCGCCTCCGCATCCTCCTCCTCCTCCTCGTCCTCCTCCGCCTCCTCCTCGCAGTCCAGATCCCAGTGGGCACAGCCGGACCTCAACCGCGAGCTCCAGATCTCAACCGCGAGTTGCAGATCGCAGTGGGCACTGCCGGACCCTCAACCGCGACTTCCAGGTCGCAGTGGGCACTGCCGGACCTCAACCGCGACCTCCAGATCCCAGTGGGCACTGCCGGACCTCAACCGCGAGCTCCAGATCCCAGTGGGCACTGCCGGACCTCAACCGCGACTTCCAGATCGCAGTGGGCACTGCCGGACCTCAACCGCGACTTCCAGATCGCAGGGGGCACTGCCGGACCTCAACGGGAAGAAAAGATGTCAGATAGAATGTCAGAAGATATGCCAGATAGAATGCCAGAAAGAATTTCAGAAAGAATGTCAGAAGATATGCCAGACAGAATGTCAGAAGATATACCAGAAAGAATGTCAGAAGATATGTCAGATAGAATGTCAGAAGATATGCCAGATAGAATGCCACATAGAATGCCAGAAGATATGTCAGATAGAATGCCAGAAGATTTGCCAAATAGAATGCCAGAAGATATGCCAGAACGTATGCCAGAACATATGCCAGAAGATATGCCAGATAGAATGCCAGAAGATATGTCAGATAGAATGCCAGAAGATTTGCCAGTAAGAAAATGTATAAATATCATGGTGGGGATCATTCGAAGTAAAGTAATTTTTTTGAATCATATTATATAAATCCCATTATTTGGCCGGTAACATTGGTGCAGATATTTTACCGTGAGATTCCACATTGGGAAACTGAGAGCGCGACATTTCCCAGGTATGTAGCAGATCGCAAGGATCCCAGCGGCTTGATGTGCAAGGCGGGGGGTCAAAGTCATCCCCCTATGAAATCGGTGGACCCAATTTCATAAATCCAATTCGGGATGGTTGTTATGGTTCATTGTTGGGTTTGCCACATGATTAAACTGAGCATACGGCATACCATGGCATAAACGGCATACCCTTTTTTTAGACACAGCCAGGTGGCATGTGTCTTCCCACTATGGTTTTGTTGGGTCGTTGGAAACGTTTGAAGAGAAAGTTGAAGATTTCCGAAATCGCAGTGACTCGTCCACCAGGACGGAATGTTGGGACCAAAGTGGGTAGCACAGATTGATGCTGCAGGGTTGACCATCCTTTCCCCAAGTAGACCAGTTTGGTGATGTGCTTTGAGGGGTCCCAGTGTGCATCCCGGTGTACCAGCCAGTCAAAACATTGTTGGGCGGGTGTTTTTTGGCTGAAATGTTTTTATCTTCATCAATTATGATGAAGTGTGATCAATCCCCCCCAAGGAAATGATTCAATCTGGTCCATGAAGATTAAGCCTTGAGAAGAATAGAATTTCCTGAAGCAGCAGCCCAGCCCCAGCCAGACCACAATTTTGGAGGCGCAAGTGATTGTTCAGCCGCCAGGCGTGCCCGTCTGGCACCTACTCGGCTGAAGTTCTGGATTCAAAGGGCTCCACGTTTGCGTGCAGCTGGGTTGAAACATGTTGAAATATGTTGAAATATGTTGAAATATCGTGAACTAGGTCCACCGCTCATATCGGACCGTGGTACGACATGGTATTTGTCACATTCTAATTTCAATGGGAAAAATATGGGACCATCAAACAAGTTTTGAAACGCGTAGTTCCATTGAGGGAAATATCTCATGTGGTTTTCCCATTCTAATTTCAAGATGAAACGTGTTTTCCGGCCAGTCAAATTTCTGAATTCGCAGTCATAGGGGGAATTGGACACGGTTTCTTTTCACATAGGAATTGCGTGTTTTTACACATTCCACCTGTCAGGGTTTGCAAGTCAACGGTTTTTCCTTCTGAGCGTTGGAAAGTTGCGTGGTTTTCAGCAATGTTTTCAATGCTGAATAGAACTTGTTTGGTGTGGGGCAGGCATCTCCGACTGTCGGTAGAGTAGACAAATTGAAAGACAAGGTCAGATAAAGCTGGATCAACCCTTCGGCGGCCTGCCACTTTGAGACTGACTGGCTGACTGGAAACTTGTTTCCCAAGAAACGTTTCAACTCTAACCAGGAAGGATCTAGGACTTGTGTTCCAGCGTCCATGTGGTCATGGATGTTCCGAACAAAGACTTTCTGTTGGTGGCACGCCGACTCAAACCTCAAACCCAAACGAAAAGCTTCAGAGCGCCAAGCGCAGTTGCCATCTGCGAAGGCTGTGGTGTTGAACCTCACATGTTTTGATTCAAGCTAGCCAAGACATGTTTTGGGGGCATGGTAACTAACCGTAACTAACCTGGAAAGACACATTGTCATTCCTTACATCCTTTGTGCAATGAGCCAGACATGCGTTAGGCACTTGCCAAGGCACCCTTTATGGACCTTGCTCAAGAGATGGGAACTTCTCGTTTGGAGAAGGAATTCAAGTAAGAACAAGAACGACAAGCACAACCGCTTTAAAAGCTGTCTGGTCTGTTCATTTTCACGGCTTGCATGTGTTGCGTTGCTTGACTTCTCATTGTCCTGTTTGCATGTATGAAACAATCTCAGATTGTATATAGTGTCTTGGTTTTGCTCCGTGAAGTTTCGAATCTCTGTTCAAACACAACTCTACATATAAAACATGTGCCTGCCCCTCCCCAAGTCAGGCACTAAGCAAGAAGCGAGACATGCAATTGCAAAACCTGTCCGTGTTTCAAACATCCAAAAAAGATCAAAAAAGATAAATGCTCTCAGCAAATAAGGCTGTCACAGAAGAAGACATTGAAGACGCAAGTTCCAAGACAACGCGCTTATAGCGTAGCATCATCTTCAAGACACAAGTCTAAGTGCCACGTACGTTAACACACTCACCCGCCCCTCACACCCTGGTGACAAGGCGCAAGTTCCAAGACAACGTGCTGTAGCGTAGCATCATCTTCAAAACGCAAGTGCCAGGTACGTTAACACACCCGCCCACCCCTCACCCCCTGGTGACATGACGCAAGTACCAATACAACGTGCTCGTAGCGTAGCATCATCTTCAAAACGCAAGTGCCAGGTACGTTAACACACCCACCCACCCCTCACCCCCTGGTGACATGACGCAAGTACCAATACAACGTGCTCGTAGCGTAGCATCATCTTCAAAACGCAAGTGCCAGGTACGTTAACACACCCGCCCACCCCTCACCCCCTGGTGACATGACGCAAGTTCCAAGACAACGTGCTGTAGCGTAGAGTGCCAGGTACGTTAACACACCCGGCCACCCCTCACCCCCTGGTGACATGACGCAAGTTCCAAGACAACGTGCTCACAGCGTACATCATCTTCAACACGCAAGTGCCAGGTATGTTAACACACCCGCCCCCCCTCACCCCATGGTGACATGACGCAAGTTCCAAGACAACGTGCTTATAGCATAGCATCATCTTCACAAGACGCAAGTGCCAGGTACTTTAACATACCTGCCCACCCCTCACCCCCTGGTGACATGACGCAAGTTCGAAGACAACGTGCTTATAGCGTAGCATCATCTTCAAGTCTAAGTGCCAGGTACGTGAACACATCCGCCCACCCCTCACCCCCTGGTGACATGACGCAAGTTCCAAGACAACGTGCTGCAGCGTAGCATCATTTTCAAGTAGAAGAAGCCAAAAAGCAGTAAAAACCCACGAGCTGTATCGAGCTGTTGCGGGCGGTGGCCTAACTACCCAGGAGTCGTCAGTGGGTTAGTGTGAACCACCAAGTAGGCCCTGTTGGCGCGGAAGATTCCAGGGAAGCTCCCAAAAAACTAGGCAACCGGTTGACTCGGCGCCCTTGCAAGGGTGACGAATTTGAAATTCTGATTTTTGAGGCTAAGAGACAAAATGCTGGTATTTGCAGGAGTCGTCAAAAAATGTTTGCAACATGGACATTCATTTCGATTGGCAGGCGTGTGACTCAAGAGTGAAAATGTGCGTTTCGCCTGCGCGGTGACTCGATTTTGCTCTTCAAGGGTCAAGAAAAAACATTAGAAATTTTTGATTTTCAATCATCCGAATCATATCAGGGCATATCAGGGCGACATTCACTCTTCCAGTTCTTTCCTCTTCTCGACGCTAGCGGTGCCAGAGCACTTGTGGCAATGCAGAAGCCACAGTCTGCAACAAGGCAGCGTTGTGACGCCATGTCCAGCTGTAGGCCCAAGTGCACCTTTTTTTGGTACACGTTTTGTTTTTCCCCACCTGCCAGGTGAGGGTTGTTAGATTTTATGTCAGTTGCCTCCTCCTCCTCCTGCTCCTCCTCCTGCTCCTCCTCCTGCTCCTCCTCCTCCTCTCCTCCTCCTCCTCGTCCTCCTCGTCGTCCTCGTCGTCCTCGTCGTCCTTGCTCAACTGCGATCCGCGATCCACAGTGTTCGCTGCCGGACCTCAACCACGACCATCCACGCCCAGTGTTCCCTGCCGGACCTCAACCACGACCATCCGGCCCAGTGTTCCCTGCCGGACCTCAACCACGACCATCCACGCCCAGTGTTCCCTGCCGGACCTCAACCACGACCATCCCGCCCAGTGTTCCCTGCCGGACCTCAACCACGACCATCCGCGCCCAGTGTTCCCTGCCGGACCTCAACCACGACCATCCACGCCCAGTGTTCCCTGCCGGACCTCAACCGCGAGTATCCACGCCAAGTGTTCCCTGCCGGACCTCATGTAGGAAGATAAAATGTCAGATAGAGTGCCAGAAGATTTGCCAGGTAGAATGCCAGAAAATATGCCAGATATGCCAGATAGATATGCCAGAAGATATTCCAGAAGATATGCCAGATAGAATGCCAGAAGATAGTCAATATATGCCAGAAGATATGCCAGATAGAATGCCAGAAGATATGCCAGATAGAATGCCAGAAGAATGCCAGAAGATATGCCAGATAGAATGCCAGAAGATTTGCCAGATAGAATGCCAGAAGATATGCCAGATAGAATGCCAAATAGAATGTCAGAAGATATGTCAGATAGAATGCCAGAAGATATGCCAGAAGATATGCCAGAAGATATGCCAGAAGATATGCCAGATAGAATGCAAATAGAATGTCAGAAGATATGTCAGGTAGAATGCCAGAAGATGTGCCAGTAAGAACATGTATAAATGTCATGGTGGGGATCACACGAAGTAAAGTAATTTTTGTGGAGCATCGACGGAGGTCGCCATTTTTTCAAATGTTTCCATGTTCCATCCATTTGTTGGGTACCAGCAATTATCCCACAAACGACCTCGAAAATGATAAGTCTTAGTCTTAGTAAAGATCTTTTGGGTGATATTTTGTTTGTGGTTGACTTGGGCCAACTTGAACCTTTTGTGGGGATAATCTTTGACACCACTGACAGCATGTGCAACGTTTGCATCTTCCGTAACGTAAAGGAAGTGCTCGTCAGGGACGTTAATACACCCCCCCACCCCCCACCCCCACCCCCCCTGATGATCATACGACAGCATGCGCAACGTGTGCATCTTCCGTAACGTAAAGGAAGTGCTCGTCAAGAACGTTAATACACCCCTCCCACCCCCCACCCCCACCCCCCCTGATGAGACAGCATGTGCAACATGTTAAAAACTCAAAAAAATCAAATCCTATACCCCCATTTCCGCAAGCCTCATTTTTGAAATTTGCAACCCTTCCAAGGGATCGTAAATGGCACATCTCAAAATTGGCAACCCTTCCAAGGGCGCCGTATCAGCCGCATGCCAAAAACTACTATGATAATATGGCTGCACATTGTTTGTTTCCAAGATTTGACCTAAAAGATCCAAAGAGTATCAGTATCAACATTTGGGACATGTTGAAGTTGGTCTTGCAGCTGTGCCGGTGTTTATCATCTAAACTTCCCGGGCAACGCTGCCAGTTTTTCGCCATGATCCGCCAAGGCAAACCCTGCGCAGTCGGAACTGCACAACCATCTGGTGCCTTGGCCCAGTATGGCCCAGTTGTGGTGGAGAACAGTTCATCCTCCACTATTATATATAATATTATTAATGTGGTAAAGATTGGTAAGCACAATCTTAAAATATCTTAAACCTCCATTGGGAATGGCTGATTGTTGGGTTTACCATGGTTTACCATTAATTCTACATTGTTCATCATGGATCGCGCTTCGACAGCTCCAACAATAAAGTTACAGTGAAGTCGAACATGTGGAGAATTCGATTCTCATAATATTCTGTTTTTTTAGGGGACCGCTGCGGAAGAATCTGCTTGGAACATCTTGGAACCCTGTTGATCTGGTTTGTTTGAAACTCATCCATTGAATATGTTCGACATTACCGTCAAAAGCCATGGGACCGTACCAGGGGGGCAGACAGTCGGTTGTAACTTTAATTCCAAATAGGGAACTATGTCAATGGCGACATCGATGTTTTTTTGCCGTTTCAGGTTCTGTGAACACAGAGCAACTTGAAATCATTGCATTGATTTGTGTGAATTTACTATATATATAATTACATGTACAATTATATATATATATGTATGTATAGATATGATTCATTCTCACCTTGGAATGTGGGGAATGTTAACATCCCACCCCACCCCACCCCACACTTTGTTCAACGTGTATGTGTGCCAGTGTTTGTGTGCCATTCTTGCCTTGCAAGTGTGGGGGAAGGGTAACATCCCACCCCACCCCACCCCACCCCACACTTTGTTCCACGTGTATGTGTGCCAGTGTTTGTGTGCCATTCTTGCCTTGCAAGTGTGAGGGAAGGGTAACATCCCACCCCACCCCACCCCACCCCACACTTTGTTCAACGTGTATATGTGCCAGTGTTTGTGTGCCATTCTTGCTTTGCAAGTGCCAGGGAAGTTAACACCCCACCCCACCCCACACTTTCTTCAAAGTGTATGTGTGCCAGTGTTTGTGTGCCATTCTTGCCTTTCAAGTGTGGGGGAAGGGTAACATCCCACCCCACCCCACCCCACACTTTCTTCAAAGTGTATGTGTGCCAGTGTTTGTGTGCCATTCTTGCTTTGCAAGTGCCAGGGAAGGTTAACACCCCACCCCACCCCACACTTTGTTCAACGTGTATGTGTGCCAGTGTTTGTGTGCCATTCTTGGTTTGGGAACGTTACCATCCCACCCCAGCCCACCCATTTTCTTGTTTGGATCGACAAGGGGCTCGAGGCGCAACTGATCAATTTTTCGAGTCGCAAGTGACATAAATGAGATGTAAGTGATGCGGAGTCGCAAGTGACAAATTTTCGGAGTCGCAAGTGACAGCCCCGCCTACCAGGGTCCCGGGATGCCATTTGGAGCTGATGCATGTTTGCTTTTAACCTCCCCATTTGCGATGATGCTTCTCAATTAACTTGTATTTAGCATATTCAACACGGCATTTACAACATGCTAAGGCCACCCGGCAGTTCTTGAAAGTCATTGACTCAAGTACTCAAGTTGCCCTTTTTGATCCCTTTTTACCCTGTCATATGTCCTCCGGTATCATCCGGGGCCGGGGTTGCTTAGCCCCGGGGCCGAGGTGCCGCTTTAGCCTGCGATCTCTGTCCACCCGGGGAGCACCAGGACGAGGAGGGCAGCAGCAGCTGCAAAAGATGTGGTATCGGTGACTCGGAAATTCCGTGGTGACCAGGATGGGGGCACCAAAAAAAAATTATCTTATCATATATGTGATAAAATATTCATTATGTATATATATATATACACATATATCATTATGTATACCATTACACATATCATATTATATATATCATTACATCATTATATATAATTATATATCATTACATCACTATATATATATATCATTATATATCTTTAAATAATGATATATATATATATATACATGTATGTGTGTGTGATGATATATTTTGCAATATCTATCCATATATATTTACACATACGTTAACATATGCATATATATATATGTATTTATATTTGTATTTATTTATTATACGTATACGTACTTACCAATTAGAAGTGGGAAACTTGGTTTGTTGACAACCCCGTTTAGACCATGATGTCATTTCTTTGTCGTCACCTTCGGTCAGACCTGCTCCAAGGACTCCTTGCCAGGTGGGTTACGATGACAGAGAAAAACACATCAACACACGTATTTCCCCTGCATCAAAAGGGTTTAGGCACTATATATACATATATATCTATAGGTGCGTGCGTGTGTGTGTGTGTGCGATATGTGCTTTTGAATTTGTAATCATTCCGGAAGATCTGGAAGTTGTTAAACGCCAACACGTTCCAAAACCAGTTCGAAGGAAAGATATCTGCACAACTACAGTATTTTCACTTCGCCCTTTGCGCATGTTGGCATGTTCAGCAATTGATTTAAAAAAATGATGGTTTCGACATGATTGCCTGTGAGCTACGCTTCAAAGTCCCATGTGACCCAGTTGTCTCTTGCTGTATCATTTCCAAATCTGTCGAATCTTTGCCCATCAAAATGATCACTATGAACGCTTCCAGCTTTCGGCAATAGATTTTACCGTCCTATTATCCCAGCCATACAAAAGTATTATCCCAGCCATATGAATGTTTCGCAAACGTGTATCCCTCCAAAACGATTGATTTTCCAATTTAACACCATACGAAAAATTTGCATTTGAACTTCCCCCTTCCTCAGAATCCATCAGAACAATCCATGTTTTTTCCACCCAACATGTCCGACCAAGGTCAGTACCAGCACCAAAAAGGTCAAGAGAAGTGTTTGGTGTGTCCACAAGGTACCACCACACCAGGTCTGAGTTCCAGTACGCTTGAGGCAGGGCGCCACGGGCGCCACTGAAATTCGCATGTTGGATGTATGGAATACCCTTTGGTAATTTAACATAGCTATGGATAGATATGGAACATGGCCATTTATAGATGATTTACCTATCAAAAACCGTATTCAGCATGGTGATGTTCAATAGCTATGTTAAATTACCGGAGGGTATGGAGCTGAAAACCATGGAAAACAGCGCCGTTGATTTTCCAGAAGACATAGCTGGCATAGCTGAGATTCATGACTTCTTGATGTTGATCAAGGATGATTAAGGATGCTTGGGTTTAGGGCACCGTTCAAGCGATGTCAGGTCCTTTCAATATTTATTCATATTTATCCTAAGTGGATTCAAAGCACCAAGCCTGAAACATCCTGAAACTATCTCCCTTTCTTGGACGGCTTGGGGACGCCCCACGAGACGTTCCACCAGGACTGCGGTTGCGCGAAGGACACGATCGACATCGGGACGGCGGTGCAACCGGAATGCGTGGCTTGCGGCGAAGGTCTGTACTGCCCTTTTGCTGCTACCTTGGAAGGCTTGAAGACAGGCAATGCCACCAAGAGTGCCCTGGCGCGAAGGCCAGATGTATGGTAAGATATGGATGGATATGGCACTGCTGGGTAGCTGAAATATCCTGACATTGCAAGCCGAAGTATAGTTTCAGCATGTGTCAAGCACGATTGATGAATTTCACCCTTTATTTGACATGATGACGCTAAACAACAACTGTTTTCCATGGGTTTGAAGCCACCAGCCAGATCATGTAGTACATACCAATATCCTACGTGCAGTACCTGAGATTCTCCTGAAATTGGTTGGCCCTTCTGGGGTTTCTGCGGTTTTCTGTGCCGCATCGCCTCCCTGTTTCCAAGGTCATTTGGAAGTCCCCCGACGCTTGGCTTTGTTTTCATTTTGGGATAGTCACCCTGGGAATTGCTGTTAGTTCCGGGCTACCATGGGCTACCCCATTTTTTGGCCAGTAAAACAGAACCACCGATGGGAGTGAATAACAGCCTATGACGATTACGACTAAATTATGATGATTATGATGCTGTGTGCCTGTTTCTGGCGTTGGGATCCTCACTAAACACATGTGGGACATTGCCCTAGCAGAACAGGTAGATGATTTTAGATGGGTTGCGATGGCTGCAGCCATCAGTTTCGCGTCAATGAACAAACTATATCATTGGAGTGCGGCCTTCCAATGTTGCTGGAAGATGATTTTGCTCTTGGTACAAGTAGTGGCAACCTTTTTGACGAACATGTTCTATTTTGCATTATTTGAAATGATTTGGCTGGAGCTATGTTGCAGGATCTTGCAGCAGACCAGGAGGATCTGTATGTGAGAGCTACCTTTGCCAGTTGGCTCGTGGTTTTGAATAATGAATGTATTTACTGTAGTTATATATGTTACATATATGTTATATATAATTATATGTGTTACATACATGTTATATATATATATGTTACACATATAAAAATATCTATCTATCTATCTATCTATCTATCTATCTATCTATCTATCTATCTATCTATCTCTCTCTCTCTCTATCTATCTATCTATCTATCTATCTATATATATATATATATGCTTTCCGTATTTACAAATGTATAAATATATACATACACCCTGGGGGTCTAAAAAACTATTTTAACAGGCAGCACATGTTTCCCAGCAAACTTCGACATCATGCACGTGGGCGGACATTCAACTCTTTCCACATTCAACCTGGTGATGTCCAAACTGATCCCCCTCAAAAGATCCAAAAATTGGCTATGGACATCGGTTCCCTCACGGTGGGCATGATCATGCCTAAGAATTGCTGTTTTGCATCCAACTGGTCACATGAGAAACATATTGTCTTAATATGTCTTAAGGGTTGCAGCAGGCCATTTCAAAATAAGCAATTGTTCACAGTGATTCAGGCCATTTTAGGGCCTATGCCTTTCACGCAAATAAATGGTCTTTCGCGGTCTGAAACAGTCGTTCACGTTTTTTCCCGGCTGTTTCACGTTTTTTTCACATTATGTGTCGGCCCACATGTTGATTTGCGATCTCATTCCTGTCTACCGATCGGCAATCCCATTCCTTTGGCTCACTGACTCCCAAGTCAAGAGGAACGTGTTCATGATTCCCATGCCAGACACCATACTTTGCAGGTGTCCATGTAACGTGATTGATTCAGATGGGTTGAAATGTTTATTCCTTTCGATAATGTCACTGACTCCCAATTCAAGAGGGAACTTTCGTGAATTTCATGACCAACTCCACACTGAAAGTGTCCATGCCACCTGATTAGTTCAGATTGGTTGGGCCAGTGTGGATCCATGTATACCCATGCATGTCCAATGGGCTTAAACGGTCGCCGATGCACTTAAATAGTCTTTTCCCGGAGACTATTTGAACAATAGTCCTGGACACTTGCGGAATATACATATTTTATATAATACATGCTATTTATATATATATAAGTTATGAATTTAGATTTCGTGAATATCGAAATTTAGATATGTATCACCTTTCCATTCCTGGGATTGTCCATGCCATTGATGTGGCCTCAGCTCCGGTTTGTCCCGTAGCATCGGCCATAGAAACGGGAGCATCAACATCAGTATCGCTTTTTTGCGAAAATCCTACATTCAGCAGGTAACTGAATCATGGAATTAGATACTTCTATTTTGTAATATGATAAGATGGAAAATCAAAGATATGAAAAATGTTGGAAAAGACGATGTCATCATGCAGCGTTTTGCCGAGGTATCATGGCAGGCTATCACGGTACGGTGCACCGGCCGCTGGAGCTCTTCAAATGTCATTTGGAACGATGCCCGGGCGGCCAACCTGGGCAATGTGGCAGCGGTTTGCAAGGTGGGATGCGTCAGATGGCTGTGTTTCTGTATGGGGTACACTGCAATACTCCCAGCATGCCCATTCCAATAGAGAATGATGAGGAAATCATGATAAACCAGTGGGGAGAGAGAAGTGGCCTAGACAAAAAGATATGTTTGTCATTGCTTGTCACATTTTGTAGGAATCCTCGCCCCCTAACATTGAAAGTTGAGCAATTTGATTCGATATAGTTCAATATTTTATACCCTCTGGTTATTTAACATAGCCATGGAAAATCACCATTTTTAATAGGTAAACCATCTATCAATGGGCCATTTTCCATGGCTATGTTAAATAACCAGAGGGTACATTAGTTTCAAACTGACAAGCGTCTCCAGGGATTGGATCCTGCTCCCCCTCAGGTCTCCCGTGCTCCGAATGCCGAGAAGGAGAGAGTTGGGACGGCAAGTCACTAGACCTTTCAGCGTTTCAGCGTTGCACGCCAAAGGTTCCAAGACACTCAAAGCATCCCCTGTAAGATTTTTTCAAGATAGATTCAACATGATTCAACAGACAGCAAAACTATGATCTAATCATGGGCATTAGTTAAACAAACACGAGCTGAATCTAACCAGTTGGTTAACCAGTTGGTTAACTATGGTCCATGGTTAGGTTTCAACACATTTGGTGCATAGCCCCAGACCAAGGCAATGCGGAGCTTGTTCCAGCTGGCTGGTGTCTTGGCGTTTCGAGTTTAGCTAGCAAAACACTACCCTCTGGCTATTCAACATAGCTATGAAGAAAGGTCTATGTATAGAGGATTTATGATTATTTAATTTATCTATCAAAAATGGTGATTGTCCATAGCTACGTTAAATAACCAAACGGTAAGTGAAAATCTGAGAATCATCTACTGTGCAAAAAAATATGGAATCAACGGCAATCATCTGTAGTTTTATGAGAAATTGTGAGCTACAGGCTGGAGGTACTAGTACCAATGGTTTTTGCATTTAAGCTTCATTTTATCCTCATTCAGAAACATCATTCTTTTGCTATCAAAATCAATCCTCATTTTATCCTCATTTGGACACATCATGGTTTCTGCTATCAACATGAATTCCTTTTTTAACCTCATTTGGAAACCTCATGTTTTTTCTGTCAAAATCAATTCTCATTGCATTCTTATTCGGAAACCTGAATCTTTTTGGTGTCAATATCAAACCCCACAATTCCTTGTTTTCATTCAATCTTGTTCAGTTTCTGTCTTGTTTCCCAAGTGCGCGTTTTCTCCTCTACCTCTAGGTGTTCAGCCTGCTTGTTTCTTATTGTAATGACTTTCCTTGGGGCGCGTCTTATTCCCCACCTGTCAGGTGAGGGTTGTTAGATTCTATGTCAGCTGGCCCGCCTCCTACTTCTCCTTCTCCGCCAGACCTCAACTGCAAGCTCTAGATCGCAATGTTCCCCGCCGGACCCGAACAGCAACCTCTGGATCAGAGTGATCCCCGCCGGACCTCAACTGCAAGCTCTAGATCGCAGTTTTCCCCGCCGGACCCGAACAGCAAGCTCAGGATCAGAGTGATCCCCGCCGGACCTCAACTGCAATCTCTAGATCGCAGTTTTCCGCGCCGGACCCGAACAGCAAGCTCAGGATCAGAGTGTTCCCCGCCGGACCCCAGCAACAACCTCTGGATCAAAGTGTTCCCCGCCGGACCTCCACCGCCAAGCTCCGGACCAGAGTGTTTCCCACGGGACCTCCACCGCAAGCTCCGGATCAGAGTGTTCCCCGCCGGACCCCAACAGCAACCTCTGTATCAAAGTGTTCCCCGCCGGACCTCAACCACGAAGAATCTCCAAGGATAGATATACCAGATAGAATGCCAGATCCAGATAGGATGTCAGAAAATATGTGGGATCAAATGTGAATGCCAGATAGGATGTCTGTAAAATATGTTTAAAAAAATCGCTTGGTGGGGATCACTCGACCAAAAGGATTTTTTTTGTGCTACAAGCTTTTTCGTGAACAAGAAACCAAAATCGTTTTTGAACGAGGGGCATCATAATAATTTCATGCGTCGACAAAATGGTAATAACAAATGTAGTTTTCTGCTAAACTGGCGAGACATCATCATTTAACGTTTGGTTTCTCCCATAATCATTTTTTAACCTTCACTGGCGCATCACTTTTTGACCGACGCATTAACATCATTAACTGACAATGATATTTTCATTACCTACGCACAAAGTTTTCAGAATTAGGGCAAAATGAGGAATGAGGATTTGGCGAGGTTCCAGAATTAAAACTCTATGAGGAGCATGTTACAGGATGTTTTGGCGTTCTAGAATGAAGGTTAACTGAGGAAGGATGGTTTCATGAGGTTCCATAGCGAGAATTAAATGAGGAATGAAGTTTTGGTGAAGTTCCAGAATGAGGATTAAATGAGGAAGGGGATTTGGTGAAGTTCCAGAATGAGGATTAAAAAATGATGCTTTCCAATCTGGGGCCCGCAGAAATTCTCAGAACTATAGTTATAACCTGTTTTAAAACTGAGAATCATTTGTAGTCACCGCTGTTTGTCTTTCTACCAAACTAGATCAAACGACCGCCTCATTTTTGTTGACTGACTTGGTTTTTCCCAGTTCCGCCCTGCGCGCACACCAGAAAAGGTTCGCTGGTGCACGTGATATTCCTTCGTCCACAAGCTGATGATGATAACAATATAATAGTAATAGTATAGTAATAACAATCACAATAATCATATTCATCCTTCGGGCCGCTTCACCAGGGTGCCAGGCCGTGATCAGTGCCGAGGTACTCGGATGGGTGACGGTTGGCTTTGCGGCACTGTTGGCGCTGCCCGCCATGTACTACATCAACAAGCGAAGCGCTGCTTGGTGGCGCCAAAATTGGATAGATGTTGGAAATGTTACATTGGAACAATGACATGCAGTACTTAGTGCAAATATCTGACATGCATGCTGGCAAGACCAACTGGCTGGACATACTAAAGAGAAGGCTCGCCAAACGTTTCAATCCTTCAATGTTTCATTCCCTCACCTATTCATTCTTCAATATGGAACCCTTGAAAGAAAAGTCTGAAACTGAGCATGTTTCAAGTCTCTTGTGAAGCCTGTTAGGTGATAGAACGATACCATGGCCAAGAGACATGGAATATTAGTCTCACAATTCTTAACCTCAGTGAAAGGAAGAAGGAATTGCATACAGTACTTTCATGTACTTTCGGGCAGGCCTCCAAAAAGGAACAGGTTTTATGAATGGTTAGTTTGGGATGTTTTTGATGGCCCCACGCCTTCAAATTTGTATCAGCATTGGTTCTTTTGAACTTTTGTTTTCTAGTGGTGGGTTGGTTGAAAGAGTGGGCTAACCCCTGTTCACAACTAACAGATTAATTACTGCAATGATGATGCATGCTATGCCAGACCAGCCGGTTTTTCCTCAAAGGACATCATTGGTTTGTATACTGCAAGCTTGTGACGATGACATATCCTAGCTTTCCACCTGTCTTGCACAGGATTACCACGGGCTGTCTCAAAATTTCGACTCCAGAAGGGAAAAACCAACCATGGAATTTCTCATCAGTTTCCCTGGCCCCCTCAGGGCGGGATCCTGGGAGGTGTGAGGCAGCTTCCAGGCTGCAGTGCCCAGGCGTCCGCCACAGCGAATTTGAAGCAGACGGCCATGATCTGCTTCAATATGATCGTATCGCTGGCGCAGGTTTGCGCATTGCTTGGCATGATGACGATTCAGTGGCCAGGTACCTCGGCTAGAGACTTGAGAGTTGAGGCAGGTTATGATCATAATGAAGTTGTTATGTTTAGAATATTGAAAATATGTTTGGAATATTTCCCCTCGCAAAAGAAAATATCCAGACATGAGACCCCAAGCAGTGTTGAGGAGAACGTATACTGACAAGAGCTTTTCACCAGGGCCTCATTCCAGGATCGTAGGACCTTGTAGCAGTGTGGCAGATCTCGCAAGGTCTTTTTTACATTTTTTTTACCAGAACCTCCTGAGAGCATCCCACAAGAGCTTTTTATACAAGCACCTCTGATACAGGGCATCTTGAAACAGAACATAGTTTTGGAAAAAACAACATGCTTATTAGTTACTGGGTCAAAGTGGTAACTTATGCCGCGGTCATCTTCTTGTGCCGCAAACGGTGTACCGTTGGGAAGTCCATGATATACATGTCATTCTTGCTGGATGAATCAATTGTTTATGGCATTGATTTTTCTAACACTTTACAGGGGCACACATGTTTTTGAGACATATTCTTCTTGAGATAGAAACTCATGGGGATGGCTTCTCTATAGTTTGACTCGCACAGAAGAGAGAACAGTAGAAGAGAAGAGTAGAGTAGAAGAGACTATATACAGAAGAGTAGAGAAGAGAATCGAATTGAAGAGTGGAAGTGATTAGAGAGGCCTAGAGCAGAGAAGGGAAAAGTGGAAAAGATCCCTGCTGCCTTGCCTTGCAAAATCCAGATCTCGTACAGATCTCGTAAAGACCTCGTAAGGATCTCTTAAAAATAACGCAATGAGAATGACATGTAGAACTCCTGGTCTTCTAGAGGTCAAGTTGATGGTGTGCCATGCGGTTTGCAACGCTTTGTGTCAGGTTTAAGACAGATAAACGGTACAAAGCGTTGCAGTCCGCATAGGAACTTCATGAAAACAATGTGCACATACATGGATCGGCAAAGTGATCGGCTGCAGAAAAGAAAACTGTTACCTGAGTACTTGGATGTACTCGGTGTGCCAATGGGGAAAACCATCATGGGTGACATTCTTAGAGATTAAATATGTTGTTCCGACAATGGGAATTACATCTGAGAACTTGGGTTGATAGAAAACAATTTGTAGGTGTGCCATGCGTTCCTTGACATTTGGGGTGAGGTCAAAGAATTCACGAACTGATGTAAAATGTACCAAATCCCTTAGGAAAATAACAAACCAATCCAAAAACCTGTCCGTGAGGGCCGGTGTGCCATGGTGATTTGCACATGGCGTAAGTTCTTGGGGTCGTGGGGTAAGCGGTGTGCCATGCGGTGGGGTAAGTTCATAGATTTTGGGGCAAGTTACCCCCGGACTCGTAATACTCGTACTTAAATCGCTTCGTGAGTTCACCTGAAGGTAACATCCATTCGGAGTTTGCTGGATGTTGATCATGTCCGTTCCACAATGGTATATGACAGATTTGGGGGTGAACATATAATCGAAGGAAGTTTAGAAGTCAAACTTCCGACAATATGGACAAATCAAAAGCAGAGGTGGGAAGAGTCAGAGAAGAGAAGACAAGAAAAAAGAATATCAAAAAAGAGAAAGTCTCAGAAGAAAGAAGATCCAGGTGCGCGAAAAGGTAGGAAAGTCGCGAAACACTGTGTTTTTCCAATGATTTGTGGCTCTGGAGGGTCGAAAAGTAGGCTCGCTAAAGCGGCGGGTGCGGAGCCAGCTGGCCAGATGAGAGATGAAAAATTGCACGCCGTTGTGGTGCGAAGCACATTTCTAAGTCAAAATGTACAAAGCACAGCAACATCGGACCACTTTGTGGAAGTTGTGACGTCGATAAGTGCATGCCGTTGTGGCGCGAAGCACATTTCCAAGTCAAAATGTACAAAGCACACCAGGTTCGGACAATGTTCGGACCACTTTTGGAAGTTGAGATGTCGAAAAAGTGCACGCTGTTGTGGCGTGAAGCACATTTCGAAGTCAAAATGCGCAAAGCACACCAGCTTCGGAGCACTTTTGGAAGTTGAGATGTCGAAAAAGTTGTGGCGCGAAGCACATATCCAAGTCAAAATGTACAAAGCACCTCAGCTTCGGACCACTTTTTGACGTTCAGATGTCGTTTCGCGTGGCAGGTGCAAGGGATTGTGCACCTTGTCAGAAGTGAGCAAAAATCGTGAGGGTTTTGTAGCATTTCCGAAGACATCCAAAAACGATGGCAGGCGTGGGACATTTGAAGAGGATCTGCAAAGATGCATTTTCCGTGGCAGGCGCAGTACAAGAGACATGGTCATCAGAGATGTTAGGAGGTCAGGGCTCAGGGCGCTGATTTCCTGAGAGGGGTTGCATTTTGGAGCATCAGATCTTCAGGTTTGCTGAGATATCTGAGATGATTCTGCATGACAGGTGCAGCACTTCGTATGACCTTGCATCACTTTTTCAAGGCAGGCGCGGTACTTTAGACAGGAGGAGTGGAAAAATCGCAAAAACGCTTGGTACGAGGCCACCATTTTTGAAGGAAGTCTCGCAGAATTGCTTCGTTTTTGATGTTGTCAACTTTGAAAATTGAGGGAGTCTCGCAGAATCGTTCGTTTTTGACGTTGTCAAGTTCAAAAATTGAGGAAGTCTCGCAGACTTGCTGCGTTTTTGATGTTGTCAAGTTCAAAAACTGAGGAAGTCTCGCAGAATAGCTTCGTTTTCAAGCGTGCAGATAGACAGACAGACAGACAGACAGAGAGAGAGAGATAGATCGATCGATAGATAGATCGATAGATTGATAGATAGAGAGATAGATAGATAGATAGATAGATAGATGGATAGATAGATAGATTAGATCAGATCAGATTAGATTAGATTAGATAGATTGATAAGAAAGAAAGAAAGAAAGATAGATAGATAGATAGATAGGTATAGATAGATAGGTATAGATAGATAGATAGATAGATAGATAGATAGATATAGAGAGAGAGAGAGGGAGGGAGGGAGGTAGGTAGGTAGGTAGGTAGTCAGAGAAAGAGAGAGAAAGAGAGAGAAAGAGAGAGAAAGAGAGAGAAAGAGAGGAGACCTCAACCACCTTTCGGTTCATCAGTGGATTCGCACTGCCATCCGTGAGTCACGGCCAACCTCTCCTGTAGGCTTTATATTTTTGAAGCTTCCGCCACCGCCTTGTTCGGTACTACTGGTATACACGACATTTAAATATGTGGAGGGCGGGCCAGACCGCGAGGCCCCGGAGGTAGTATGAAATACCAGTTCGTATATTTAAATGTAGTTGCAGTATGTTTAAATTAATTGGATTCCGTATGTTTACATGGCTGGGCGGGCCAAGGAAAACCTTCCCGGAGGTAGTCTAAAATACCTGCTCGTATATTTAAAATTCCGTTTATTTAAATGTAGCTACCGTATATATATATATATATTCTTCTGTGTGCGTGTGTGTCCATTATTGTATCTCCCTAAAACGGTCGGTTTGAAAACTTGTATACCACCATCATGTTGTCGCTTCAACGGATTTGTTTACGCAATGAAACGTTCTCCAAGGCGTTTTCAATGAGATGACTTCGGGAAGTCAAGCTGCTGGTCATTGTGCGGGTCATGGGATGTCACGGCAGTTCGCAAGGATTCCTTGGTATGTATTCATGCTGCACATATACATAACTGGTTGGCGGTTTGGAACATGAATTTTATTTTCCATATATTGGGAATAGTCATCCCAACTGACTTTCATATTTTTCAGAGGGGTTGAAACCACCAACCAGATGCATATTTGTATATATTCATGTATTTACTTATGTATTCAAATTATGATACCATTGTTTAGTTTATAGCTGCATATGTGATTTGTTGGATTTGGTTTTTAACTTGAACAACTATATATCCCGGTTTATGGCCAAACCTCCAAACCGCCATGACAGTACTTAGGAAAACAACCTTTTGTTGCAGATGTGTGGGTGGCATAAAATGTTAACTGCTTGGGTTCTAACACTATACTGTATGAACATCAGGAAATGGATTCCAACTAATCAATTGCACGCATGTTCTGATCATTATGACGCAGGTTGTATCGGATATGCTCTGGCAACCAAACATGGCAGTGGACAAGCCACCATTCAATTCCATAATTTTCCCATTTAAAAGCGGCTTCCGAGGTGCTACTACTTGACCTGGAATCCACCCATGTTGCCTGCATTGGAGGCCGGTGATTGGAAGCATGGCTATGCTAGAAGCATTTAGAATCATTGACATCAGAAAACATGTTTGTGGTCAACCTCAAACTTGTTGTTCATCTGCGTTTGTATTTACATGTGCTCTCTCTCCCTCTCCCTCTCCCCTCCCCCTCCCCCTCTCTCTCTCTCTCTATCTCTCTCTCTCTCTCTCTTCTCTCTCTCTCTCTCTCTCTCTCTCTTCTCTCTCTCTCTCTCTCTCTTCTCTCTCTCTCTCTCTCCGAAAATGAATGCTCACCGAAGGAAGTTTAGAAGTCAAACTTCCGACAATATAGACAGATGAAAAGCAGAGATGGGAAGAGTCATGGAAGAGGAGAGAAGAAGAAAGAAGATCAAAAAAGAGAAAGTCTCAGAAGAGAGAAGGTCCAGGTGCGCGAAAAGGTAGGAAAGTCGCGAAACACTGCGTTTTTCCAATTGTTTGTGGCTCTGGAGGGTCGAAAAGTAGGCTCGCTAAAGCGGCGGGTGCGGAGCCAGCTGGCCAGATGAGAGATTAAAAATTGCACGCCATTGTGGCGCGAAGCACATTTCGAAGTCAAAATGTGCAAAGCACACCAGCTTCGGAGCACTTTTGGAAGTTGAGATGTCGAAAAAGTGCACGCCGTTGTGGCGCGAAGAACATTTCCAAGTTAAAATTGTAAAAAACTCACGGGTTCGGAGCACTTTTGGACGTTCAGATGTCGTGCAAGGGATTGTGCACCTTGTCAAAAGTGAGCAAAAATCGTGAGGGTTTTGTAGCATGTCCAAAAACGATGGCAGGTGTGGGACATTTGAGGAAGACCTGCAAAGATGCATTTCCCGTGGCAGGCGCAGTGCAAAAGACATGTTCATCAGAGCTGTTAGGAGGTCAGGGCGCTGATTTCCTGAGAGGGGTTGCATTTTGGAGCATCAGATCTTCAGGTTTGCCGAGATGATTTTGCGTGACAGGTGTAGCACTTCGTATGACCTGGCATCACTTTTCCGTGGCAGACGCAATATTTTAGACAGGTGAGGTGGATTGGAAAAAAAGCAAAACGCATTGGTACAAGGCCGTCAGCTCTGCACTCAACTTTCCATTTTCGATGGAAATCTTACAAAATTGTCTCGCTTTTGATGTTGTCAACTTCGAAAATTGAGGAAGTCTCGCAGACATGTTTCATTTTTGATGTTGTCAAGTTCAAAAGTTGAGGAAGTCTCGCAGAGTTGTTTCGCTTTTGACGTTGTCAAGTTCGAAAATTGAGGAAGTCTCGTTGTTTTGTTTTTGATGTTGTCAAGTTCAAAAATTGAAGAAGTCTTGCAGAATAGCTGCGCTTTCAAGCTAACGGTTAGACAGACAGACAGACAGGCAGGCAGGCAGGCAGGCAAGGCAGGCAAGGTAGATAGATAGACAATTACAACTACAACTACCACTACACTAATTACACAACACTACTGCTAGCACTACACTACACTATTTACATCTAATTACGCTACACGACACCAATTACACTAACAACTACAACAGCAAGTACTACCACAACTGCAACTACACTTACAACTGCACTACACTACACTAATTACACTGCAGCACGCTACAACTACAACTACACTACAGCATTGCACCACAACTACAACTGCAGCTGCAACTGCAACTGCAGCTACAACTACAACTACCACTACACTACACTACACCACACGACATTACACTGCACTACACTAAATTAATTACACCACACCACGGCTACAACGGCAACTGCGCTTGCAACTACACTATATAATTACACTACATTACCACTACCACTCCACTACACTACACTACAACTACAGCTACAAGTGCAACTACAACTGCGACTACAACTGCAACTGCACTACACCACACTACATCCAGCAGCTGTGGTAAGGTGACCACTGCAACCATTGTAACCACTCCAAAAAACACAACTCCAACCACCTGTCGGTCCATCAGTGTACTCGCTCTGCCATCCGGGAATCACAACAACCAACCGCTCCTATAGGTTTCCTATTTTTGAAACTTCCGCCACCGCCTTGCGCGGCACTCCTGGTATTGTAAGAAGTATTTTGTACATATAAACAGACGGGTTTATGTGCATAGGTTTTGTTTTGGAAAGCTGCTGGAAGCAGGGGGCCCGCCGAATTCTTTGATACTAGCGGTTATTAACGATTACCAATCATAGCGTGCCATCCACAAAGCATGGGCACTATTTTTTGCTACATCCTAGCCATTCGTGGCCATAACCAGTTGGAAAGGGATCAAAGATTAAAGTCCGAGGGCCCATATATAGATTTAGGTAATTTTGCAGCCATGTTATATACCTTCCAGTGATTCTTTAACATAACTACGGGAAACGACCCATTTGTAGATCATTTATTGTATTTTTGAAAAAAGGGTGATTTTCCAGATGCATGTCAGATTACCCGAGGGTAGCATTAAGCAGCATCCATTTTCGGCACCCCAATTGTTATAATAACAAGTTCCGGAAGTGAAATCTATGGCGCTCAACCAACCATGTTTGGGATCCCTGAGCTGGGCCCAGCAATGGTTTGGACATTCAATTCGATGCTTTGAAGAAACAACATAAGTAAGATGGCAGGAACTCTGGCAGGAATGACATTCTAAACCTGCAGAATATCCAAATATGCTGGCATTTTTGGTTTGCTTTCTTGCATCCCAACTTTTGACACCGCGCAAAACCTTTTTCTCTTCTGACACAGGCTCTTCAACCACTGGTTACGTATAGTGGTTCGGGCGGTTTGGAATCCCAACGGGGTGCAAAGCGGTGCAAAGCAGACTACCACTTCCACATTGTTTGGTTTCATTCTTGTCTGTCGGAAGATTTAGGGGGAACGCCAGTTCCTCTACAGGTTCATCCTCATTGTTCTTGATCAAATTGCCATAACTTGGGGGTTAACCCCCAGTTTTTCAGACACACCCATGGTGTTTCATAATTTCCCAGTTGCACTTTGCCTGGAGGCGCCAGTCCTTCCTTCCGCCTCTTGGTTTCGACGATTGATTCTTTTGTTTGCTGGTCAGGTGATGGTCATGGAAGTCTCAGGGTGGTCATCCAACCGTCATCCCTGCACCAATTTTCAAGGTTTATTTCTCGGGGCAAATTTAAGGCCTGGAAATCCACCTTCAATGGGGTGTTGTTTTTTGGCACCCCAGTAAAATGTCATAGCCATGGAAATTGCCTCATTCATAGGTATTGAAACTGCTGATTTTCCATGGCTATATTAGTTTACCAAAGGCATCCAAAGGGTATGGCGGTGAGTCAAGACATGTTGGTATGTTTTGGCAACAGGTGCGCGTTTCCCTTTCATTCAATACCTGGTCAATAGCGGTAACGGAAGGTTCCCACCAAGATACCACACTCGTTACCAAAGCAGTGGATCTTGGCGGGTTGGAAGTCCAAGAGGCTCGTGGCCGCCGGGTGGCAGGGTGAGCGCAGCAATGGAGAAATAACCAGCTGGGATCTTCAATTCAGCTCCATCATCCTATCCAGCTGGGATATTATCAAAGGAAATTGCGTTCGCAAACTTCTGAGTTACGGACGAATGTTCATGGTTAGTCTTCATTAATCTTCACGCCATCCTGAAGTAGATACTTAGATACAATATTCTCCAATATTCTCCAAATGCATTCTTGGATTGTTCACCCTGCTATTCCACGTTAGCTATACGTTAATACCTATTAGATACATAGAGGTCTCTTTTTGCTGGAATTGATTCCTGCATGTTCCTGCCGATTTAGGGGCGATTCCGAATTCCTCAGGCTACATCCTGACCGTGTTAGTGTTCCCAGCTGCAATCGCTTGGCTCCTTCTTTGTTTGGCTTTGTCCAGATGTTTTCCTCAAAGATTCCAGTGGAAGTGGGCTCAAACCTTCAATACCATGGGGGCCCTCATGCAGGTGGCAATCAACATGACGCTCGGATGTTCCAACTGGCTCAAACCGGTGGAGTTGCGAACTAGGATAACGATAGGATATTGAATGCTGAAGTTGGCTTGAGCTAAGATTATCATAGGTTATCTATTTGTGAATCATTTGGGAAATTATATATATATATATATATACATATCTGATTTTATATTAATGTGCCACCCATGGGGAACATAGAGTTTTCTCAGGGGCAGCAGCAAGTGAGAAAATCTAATTGGACGACCTGTGACGCTTCGGACGCTTCAGTTTTTGGGCATCCACGTTACTTACCAACCGTTACCTCCCAAAAATCAGATTCTTTGGAAAAGATGACCGATGTTGTTGATCAATTCGCATATCTCAACACAACGTTGCATCCCAAGTTGCATCAGAAACGGGCGCATACCGGGTGCCTACCGGGCGCCAACCGCAACTCAGGATGTCGAGTCTGGCCTTACAACCCTTCATGTGTTGCCAGGTTGATGTGGGAGATCCCTGTGAAACTGTGACATGTTCCAAGGTATTCTTGCGCAAAGGCATCAAATACAACCATGGCACCATACTAGCAGACTGGCATGCAGGGGCAGACTAGCTTCATTGATGGGTTGACCTAGGCGTATCCGTGCGATTTTGCGGGATGATGTCGCATGGAGTTGTTTTCAACATGTTACTTTCTGGTAGCCCCTTGGTGCTTCCCAGGGGTTTGGGCTGTCTCTTTCTCAGGAGAAACAGTACCCAGCATGCCGAGCACAGAATTCTCTGCTTGAGTCGCCAAGGCTATCATCACCCCAACGGCCAAGAAAGCCTGGTCAAATACCCTGGGGTGCTTTGTGGTGGCGAAGCTCATACAGTAATGAAGGTACCTCGGCTGCCCCTCGGATTCCGGGCTTTGAAGATGATGGTTTTATCATGTGTTATAAGTTTTATATGTGTTCTATGTTTTTTCGACATTTCTTCTGTTTTGCAAAAAGGCATGCGCAGAAAAGATCCGAAAGCCGCGCGGGCATCGGATTTCGCCACTTCTGAGTTCCATATGAAACTGCTAATGTTACCAGTTTTTTGAAGGGCTTCGGTTCGTCAGCGTTGATGCTACTCTCCATCATCTTTCTTCAATTTTCTAGCATCAATAATGCTATGCTCTAAGGTGTTCTCTTTTCAACTTTCAAACATTTACCCTCACCGACGCTACGCTCCAAGATCTTCTCTTCAACTTTCTAACATAATTGATGCTACACTCTGGGATCTTCTCTTCAATTTTCCAACATAATTGAAGCGACGCTCGGAGATCTCCTTTCCATTTTCCAACATTCTACATTAATTCATTCAGTCAGTCACTCACTCAGTCATTCATTCATTCGTTCATTCGTTCATTTCATTCATTTCATTCGTTCGTTCGTTCGTTCGTTCACTCATTCACTCACTCACTCACTCACTCACTCGCTCATTCATTCATTCATTCATCCATCCATTCATTTATTCATTCACTCACTCATTCATTCAGTCAGTCATTCATTCATTCATTCATTCTACTCTCAAAGATCTTCCCTTCGCCTTTCTAAGATTGTACCATCATTCATGCTAAGCTCCAAGATGCTCTCTTCAATTCTAACATTCGCCCCAAGATCTTCCCTGCGCTACGGAAGACATGGGTGGTACTGTACCTTTTTGGCCACATGGTTTAGACTATCGGGGGCCGGCATGAGGCGCGATCAAATCTTACCTGTCCAACCTCCAAACTTGAAAAAAAGGGCCTTTCCTGCAAAAACAATTGTTTGTTCCAGGTTTCAGGCATTTCTGGCAGAGCGCAGCCACTCGCCGCCACTTGCAGCCATTCGCAGCTCGCAGGTGGCCACAAGTGGCCGTTCCAGTTAATTGGCCACAAGTGGCCGCTCCAGAACATTCCAAGTGAGAGACCGCAAGTGGCTGCAAGTGGCTGCAAATGGCCGCTTTCTACGATTTCAATTTCCAACCCCGAAGCAGCCCTTCCGGCTGTTTGGCAATGCGCATTCACTCTTCTAACTTGTTTGGGTTACCCTCGCAAAGTCTTGGTCACTTAATCATCAGACTTATAATCCGCTCTTGAGGGGCAAAAAAACTCGAGTTCTGGCGACGAGTTTGTGGAATCATCCTTCAAAAGGCCCAACACATCTGGCTTGTGATTTATCATTGACAGCATTTATTCTAGATGATTATTCATTGTCCAGATATCTCATGATATCTCCAGATTTCTTTGAAATGTAATTTATTTTTTTGATTAATTACAATGATATCATGACTGCCGAGGTGGCCGGATACATCCTCTTGATCGTTTTCGTCTTCGGCTTCCTGAGCATAGCCGCCTGGGCAGCCAAGAAGAAACTTGGCACGGCACCCTAAAAAGGGGGGAAAAACGGGCGGCCTGGTATGCCCAAAGTATATGGGGTATAGACGGTATATAGAGTATACCCATGCATGTTGTGTTTTTCCGCAACAGTTTCAATAAATAGAGAGAGAGAGAAAGAGAGATTTGAGACAGGGAGATGGATGGATGGATGGATGGATGGATGGATGCATGGATAGATAGATAGATAGATAGGTAGGTAGGTAGATAGATAGAGAGATAGATAGATAGATAGATAGATAGATAGATAAATAGATAGATAGCTAGCTAGATAGATAGATAGAGAGAGAGAGAGGTGAAAAAAAGATATTGATGATATTGGAGGTACCCTATTCTCAGACCAACCCGTATTGTCTTAGCCTTTGCAATCAAGATTTTGGGGCTCTTGATTTTGACCCAAACCCAAACCCATTTGCAGGATGCTCACATGGGATCAGACTCAAATCCCGCGCGATGTCAGAAAGTGGATCTGAACATGCTACGGAAAGGCTACGGGAAACCTTGAGTAGGCCAACCTTTTGTTGGCAAGGAAAGCTGGATGGGGGATCCCAGATGAAAACTTCTTTCTCGCAGGGTATCCAAGATCGGATAGATCGGCTATCGAAAGTATTGCATGGTTTGTAAGCACCAGAAATGGGGTTGCCGCATGTCAAGTGAAAACACAGCCACAAATGCTAGCTGCAAAGTGGCATGATGCCCACTACTAGTAATGGGATTGAGGAATGGTAGAGAGCGGTACCAAACAGCGGACCCATTTTTCCACGTAGTTCAGCTGGTTGTTTGATTTATGCTAGTTTATACTCCCAAAACGTGGTAAAATGGGGCGCTATTAAATTATATAGTCTTTTCTGGAATAATAAGGCTATAGTCTATATCGATCCAAGCATTTGCCGTGGCTGGAAAGTGGATGTAGCTGCTGCCACCAGCTAGCAGTTGGTACTAGGATCTGGTTTTTTTTACTCCCCTGAACATTTGTTGCCATGTCCCACGGGGCTGAAAGCAGGGCAACATTTACCATGTGGGATCACTTTTTTCTATTGATCTGACTGAAGGATGTTGCTGGATGTTGCTGGTGCGATGTCTTTCTGAGGGGGGTCAGCTATAAATTGCGGGGGTCGCGGCAATCCAGGTGGGATGTTGCCAGACACCTTGTGATTTTATGGGCAGTTTGATGTTTGTTTTATTAACGAACGGATGAATATAAATAAATAAACACATAAATAAATACATATATATATATATATACCAGGTTACCACCTTGAAATTCAACGGTATCTTTTGAAATTTGGGTAGCATGAGTTTGAGGCAAGGCCATCAAAGCACCAGAATATGACCAACCAAACCAGCTCCAAGATGGATGGGAAAAAGATTGACATATACCCTCCGATAATTTTGCCACTGCTATGGGAAATGGCTTCATGTCAAGGTGATTTAACCATATTTAACCTATGAATCCTATGAAATCCTATGGTTTTCCAGTTCGCAAACTGTAACCAATTACCCTGTAGGGTAAGCGCGCCTCAGCAGGGGAGGCCGCCCGGCTCAGGATTCCAACGTGGGGGAGCAATGGCCAGATTTCTCGTGTGCACAGTTCCTGGCAGATCGCGGGGTGAAGATTGGTGAACTTTGCCAAAATCAGACTAGTAAAATGGTCCATAAACAAGGTCAAGACGTCGTTAATGACCTGTGATGACGTGTGTAATTTTGGCATCGTTCAAATGTCTTCTCACATGAAGATGCACCACAACACGGGCAGATCACTGCTAAACCGTTTTAGCGTGTCCTGGAAACCAAGCACTCTAAGGCTTTCCAAAGACAGCTTTTGGTATTTTTGCGCCGGTGGAACGCAAAGACATAATCCCACATTCTTTGGTTCAAGATCTGTTTGTTATCTGCCTGGAAATGAAGTGCGTTACATCACCCCAATTAAATTCCAAGAGCAAGTTAAGAGCGTAGCATCAAGAGCGTGTTGGAAGACGCATATAGATGATCGCAAGCGAATGAACGTTATTAGCCCACCCCACCCCACTCCACTCCGCCCCGCCCCACATACATGCACAGCGCAAAATTATCTGTGTGTGGGACGGCAATAAGTCAGGAAAAACATGTTGGCGCCGTACAACCGGTGCTGCAACCATGCAGGAAAAGGAGACCCTCGTAGTCCAGGCCAAAAAAATGCATTCCAACTCCCACAACAAGATAAAGGAAAAAACTGGGGCAAAGCCGGGCAAAAAGCCAACCCCCAGGGCCTACCCGCGGAGGTTCGAAGACGCGCCTTGGGCGGCGAAGCCTCCGTGAATCAACCCGAGAAAAAACAGAGGGCCTACACAAGCCGCTCAGCCCAGTCATGGCAGGAGAGGAACTCTGCTAGGGATCTTCGAAGGCCATGGAGTCTGCAGCGGACACTCAGTCCCCTCACGCCTCCGCCACACGCTTCGACGACTAAAGGGATGAATTGCAGACCTTGGCCCTGACAAAGTTGCCCCGTATTGTGGTGCGAACGTTTCCAGTGTTCATAGGCGGACGCAGCTGCACTCCCACCACACGCCGAGGCCGAGAGGACCGACCCGCGCATGCTACTGGTGCAAGCAAGGTCCAAGGCAGCAGGTCCACGCGCACCCCAGGACGGAAGGTAAAACTACAATTATCCAACTTGGGAACGCACGTAGATTAGGTGGTCCTTTCTTGTCACATTGAAGCCACATATGGCTGGCACAAAATTGCAATATTTGGTCGATTTGCTTCTATTGATTTAAAGAAGGGAGCGGCAAAGTCAGCTGACACAGCGCAACAAAAACGTTCCTACTCTGCCTACTCTAGATTTGATTTCGATCGGCCACGTCTCCTTATGAAATTTTGGTGGCCGCACATGAATCTGCAGAATGTTTCCTGGAGTTCTTCCAGGTCCCAGGCAGGTGGCAATGTTGCCCCCCAAATGGGGCTGGGGCAAGCATTGTGTTCACCATTTGCATTGCCATTAATCAATACATTAGAAAGATTGTAAGAATATCATTGGATATATTGGAAGCTGAAACATGCAAAAACATAGGCTGAAGAATGCCCAAATAGAAATCCTTCTGCGCTGCAGGTTTCATCTTTCTGATCGCCCGCTTCCGCATGGATCGTTGGTGGTTCGGGGTGCCACTGCTGCTGCGCGGGCCCTTGCTGTCGCTACCTGTGGTGTGGGCCACTGATTCGCCAGAAACGCAGGCCCCCTCGGAAAATGGCCAACTGTATCGATTGATTACATGAGCTATTAAAAGAATTATAGTTGATTGGTTAGTTTAGGGGGTTAGACTACCTGACTACTTAGTTTCATGGGGATTTTGATAACCCATAGTAGGGAAACCTAGTAACCAACCAGAATAATGAGATGGGATAGCCGTATTGTTAATTGCTCACGCGTGGGACTTACCCTTCGGTAATCAAACGTGGCAATGAGAAATCAAATAAATGCAGGTTTTCAGTTTTCATGCGAATATCATCTACCAATGGGAGGTGTTCAATTGCAATGTTGGATTATCGGAGGGTATAGACATTTGGCATAGGCATGTTTAACCAACAAAAATGTCAACCCTGGATTAAGATTTACTTTGGTTGATTGAGGATGGGGGTACCATCCCAAATAGTGACAATATGCTACCACAACGGCACGCTACAAGTAATTCAACAGCCTAGGTTTTTTTAAAAATCCGGGGTTAATATAAAGTAAACGAAATATGCATTAATTAAACATGACTTTTTTATGTGTGTGTGATTGCATATGTGTGTGTAATGTCCTGTGTCATGTTTTGTGTCATGTGCCATGTAACGCAATGTAATGAATTGCATTTTCTGTGTTTGACATGGTGGATGTGTTTTTTGTTGATTTTTGGCATATGGAATGCTTAGACTGGGAATGGGGCTGACTTGACCCAAGTGATCCCATCCGAAGGGCTGTTTGTTAGAGGTTTTGATCTATTCAACTAGCTACTAGTCGGCCCCAAAAAAAGCATCCTGACAATCCCTGACATGCGTTTGGGTTGGGGCTACAAGACTGATCATACATGTGGCTCAGATGTGTTCAATGTGTTCCAGATCGTTTGTTGCCACAGTCAACTGATCCAGTTGATCCAACTGACAAAGACCTTTCAATGAACGCATTGCTGCTGGTAATACGGGCGTTTTCCCTTTCATGTATAGTGTTCTTTGTGCGGTACAAAGTGCTCTACTTACCCAGCCAGGAACAAATGATATGCATGTAGGGAAATGAGAATCCATTGCTGAGTATGTTGTTGGTATACCTTTTTCAGCCCTTGTTGATCCTTGTTGTCATGTCAGGGTTTAAAGCCCCCTCTCATGATCATCCTCCTCAGCATGTTTTTTTTCCACCCTTACCCTCCAGCAAACAAAATTAGCAAGCATTGGACAAATCTGCCGCGAGAATATTTCCTTTGTATCGTTTAAGAAAAGTCATCCACTTGCTCTATTTTCACCATTCGAAAAGGCTATGCCATGCTATGACAGTGACTGCGCTTAGACCCATCATCCTCCGACCAGACCTCTATTGCGGCCTTCGTTGTGGCCATCTTTTTGTTCTTGCAAATCATGGCCTGGCCCTGGAAGGCGGGAGGGTCTAGGTGGATTTTGTTACCGGGTCACCAAAACTGTGTACGAAATCAATGCTAGTTCTTGATAGTTCTTGGTCATTTGTTTGGCTTGCTGAATTAACCATCAGGTTTGGCACGCAGATAGCCAAATTGAGGTTCCAGCTAGCTTTTGTCCAAACGCCAGAATATCGGGCCGTGAACAATTTAAGGACAACAAGAATTTAAACCATGAGGCTTTGGAGGTGCTCTATTGACAAAGCCATAGAAGCCCAAAGGCCCAAGGGATCAAGGGGTTGTAAAGCATCAAGCTTAATTTGGGATCAAGCATCATTTGGGGGTGTGTGAAAGCTTCAGGGGACCAGGACACCAGGACGAGTACGTCAGCTCGCCCCATCATTCCGAACGAGTGAAAACATGTTTCCACATGTACACCGATACATAGCACACAGATGTTTGCAGGAAATAATGCTGTACCATGTCGATGTATATAAACTAATATATAACATGAATACGAACATAAGTATGAATATTTAATATACATATGATTATGAATATAGATATGAAGACATAATATAAGTATATGTAAATATACAAGTGGTTTGTATGTAAGTTCATGGTTTCAACAATGTCAACCCTGGATGAATCAATTCTTTTCATCTTTTTGCGGGTGGCTTCCCCTATTTTCCGTTGACGTCGGACGCACAGGTGCCTCTGTTGAACGTCATGGACACATGGGTGACGTTGTGGTTGTTGGTGCTTCTGCTAGCCACACCTGTGTACAACACGGTCCGGCCGGCATGGAGCAGCAGCAGCGATGGCTTCGCACACCGGCAATGCCCAAAGGGTTGCTGTTGTTGCCCAGAATGTCGCCCGCTTGCTCTGTTGTTGGTGGTGTTGTTGTTGTTGTTGCTGTTGGTGTTGTTGTTGTTGTTGTTGTTGGCGGTGGTGGTGGTGGCGGTGGTGGTTGTGGTTGTGGTGGTGCTGTTGTTGGTGGTTGTGGTGTTACTGTTGTTGCTGTTGTTGTTGTTGCTGTTCTTGCTGTTCTTGCTGTTGTAGTGTAGTGGGTGTTTTCACGTTTTTTGACTCTCGGAGAAAAACACTGTAAAGACCAATGTTTTTTGCGCCTCGGAAACCCAAAACCACGGTAATTATTTACAATGTTTTTTGACCTTGGGAGCAAGAATAACGGCATTATAGTGTTTTTTGGCCAGCGCCTAGCAAAAACATTGCTATTTACGCAGCTTTCAGCAGGTTGCAACAAATATGTGTTCCACGCAAAAGAGGCACCAAAACAGTCTAAATTACATTGCTTTGGCCTTTGGCAAACACCAAAACAAAACAAACATCCGCCAAAAAAGTGCCCAAAATGGACCTTCCAAACCCTCCTTTTCTTGGTCGAGTCGATTTTTGGTCGAAAATGCTCCGTTTTCTCCCACATCAAAAAACGTCAAAACACCACCAGAGGGAAGGATTTTCGGGTAGGGTTGCAGCAAGGGCGCATATTTAAAAAGGGTATGTTAGAGAATTAGTGTATACCTCGAAACGGATCGAAACGTTCAAAGCAATTATACTTTTGACTTCGGGGTGCCCAAACTCCAAACAAACTCATGTCAACCACACATGAACCAAGCCTAGGGGGTGACACCACACGGGCACCTAATCCGCTGTAAGCATTAGGAACCGTAGAGTGGTACCGTGAAAGTTTGGCCAATCCCTGGTCATTTGATTTTTTGAAGCACTTAAATGAACCCCTGCCCAATTTCGTGAATTTGATACAGGATTTATCCAAGTTAAAGAGCCTCACCGATTTCAGACAGTTTGGTCGCCACACAGTTTGGTCGCCGCGTGAGGCTGAGAGCGAAGCTGCTCTCTCGGCTGTTCCAAGATGTTCCCCATATTCTTTCACAATTCACAATCCACGTTGTAAACCCAAAAATGTGACAAGATTTCTATGTTAAACCCGAGACATCTCTGGTTTGGCCCATCATTTTGAAATTCCCACATTGCGAATGGAAGAATCCTTTGGCATCTTCAAAGCACGCATTGGTTTCACAGATTGTTGAAAGGTACTGCGAAGGAAAGCCCATGGCACTTGTTGGTAACAATCAGGGTTTCCTGCAAATGTTCTCTTGAAATCTCTTGAATCCATTGGGTATGGCTGCGTGATCGTGATGCCGTGTGCCAGGGCGTGGTTGCCCAAACACAGCTCAAAGAACAATTCTCAGTTGCTTGACGGATTTTTGATGGCGAAAGGTTTGTATTTAGTACAAAGCTGCCCCCTTGGTTTTTGCGATCTCTTAATGTGGCCCGGATCCAGATCTCTTCCAAAAAAATCAGGTGATCTTTATGGCCTTCATCGTGCTGGCGCTGTTCTTTGTCATTGCGATCATCTTCATTGTGCCTTCACACGGACATGAGCTTTGGGCGTGTCCCAATGATACCCCAAAATGGACATTTCAATACAGAAAATGCTGCTCAAGCAGTGCATCTTCGGATACCCTATTTTCAGATTAACAAAAAATAGCAGAACAGTCTTGATTGGCGATTTCCCCTGTTCGAGAAAAAATCCTGCCTGTGTCTCCGCTTGGGAATGAGAAGTTAATTGAATCCAGCAATCATCCAAAATCTAATATCCATGTTTGGTGTGTTACATGCGCTTATTGCGCTGGATGATGATAGATGGATAATACTCGTAGCTGGTTGGGGAAGCGCTCGGGATGAAGAATGGCAGAGAAATCAACGCTCGTCCTTGCTGAATCTTTGTGAATATGTTCGGCGCAACTAGCCAACCACGAATCGAAGAACATGAAATCCAAATTGAAATCCAATTTGAAATCATTGAAGTCATTGATGAACATGAAAAACATGAATTTCAAAACATGAAATCATTGATTACTTTTATCCAATTTGAAATCATGCATTTCCTCTGCATTTGTTAGTCCCTTTATCCTCGAAACTTAATCAGGTCCAATCATACACTCCATGTTTTTGGTGTCAGCGCCAGTGAGAGGCCATGCGCGAGTTGATGTTTGGGGGGGTGGGGGTGGGGGGCGAAGAGGGGCATCAGCGTCTAGGTTCGGTTAGATCAGCTAGAGCGTCTTCCCAAGACAGCTTCGCACCTTTTATACTCGGCCAATAGCCAGTCGGTGCGGTGTCCACAGGATTACTCTATATCTCTCCTGAGCCTTGACAGCGTATGTAAATGTGCTCGATACTCATGCTATATCCACATTGGATTCAAGCCGAAACAAAAACACAGGCACAAATTCAAAGGCAATGAGTAGAGCACTACGCTTTGTCGTACCCAATTGAGAATTATTGAGAATAAGAGTTAGGGCCTGCACTATACTACACGTTGGCTAATCGGCTAATCAGCAAAAATGAGCGGAAGTCACGCAGTGGTTTCTGTACAAAAATAGCGGATTTAGGCGGATTGAAAGCGACAAACTTGTCCTAAGGACATGTCGAAATGAAAGCAGCGGATTCGCTAATTATTTTTCTCGACAGTGGTGCGCGAAGCACGGTCGTTCCAAGCAAAACGCTCTACCGGTGTGAAAAATGCGTCCTCCAAACGTTTGAATTGCAAGATTACAATTGGCCGAATCACAAAATAAACGGATACAGCGGATCTCGAAAGTCGCTCATTCAGGCGGACGATGGACAAAAGCCTTGTTTAACATATTTCTTTGTATTTCTGTTATGTTGTTCGAACCCCGTTCAGATTTGTGGATCGGATATCGTTGGATTTCAATGAATCAAAAAGAATTGTTCGGGATACACATATATGTTAAACGATTGTTTTCGAAGGGTTTCCCTTGGATGAAAGTAATGGTATGTTTCGAACGGTTTTCTTGCTAGGGAACCAAGATGTGAACGCAGTAGCTTTATCGATTTGATAATTTTTGATATCGATTATCTGCAGCATTATGTTTAACATTGGCAGAGTTTGTGCGTTTGATCTGCTATTGCTGTATCTCGTCAGCAGGTTCTGCATTCATTGCCCGGATAAGAACCAGGCGTCATAGTTGAAATTCTGAAAGAGAATAAATAATGAAGCAGCATGTCCTTATATTCCAGATTTTTATTCAAAACCATGAGGATCAAGGAATATGGAGTTGACAGGCTTTAAATCACAGACACTGAAGGGTAGACACGGCTGACCTTTACTATTCCTCTTTCCTCACCAAATCATTTTTCAGCACATGACTCAGCAATCAGCGCGTCGCTTGTTTGATGCTGCTTCTGATTTGGCGGCGGAGTGCGAAGGTTCGGTGCCCGAATTTGTTCCAATTTTAAGGCGCTTCTTGACAGATTTGGATCAGTATTTTGATTTGGCAGCATTTCGGTCGGCTGCCAGTTCGAGCAAGATCCAGCGTCTAGAGAACCAAGTTCGTTATCAGAAAAGAAGGAGGGCGGAAGCAGAAACTGAGTTGAAGCGCCAATTGGCGCCAAAGCAGGGTCTACGCATCGAGAGCCTGTGGTGGTTGAGAACAGGGTTGGCAGATCCTTCCATACCAGCTCAGAGTTTGTCATCGTTTGCTGCTGAGTTTCCTGTTCAGGAAAGGCCTGATGTAACAATTTCAAGAAATTCAGTGAGTCGCTCGAGAGATTGTTTCGCAGAGATATTGAAGCACATGAACAAACAATCTTTGGTAAATGTCGGCCACGCAATGCCCCTAGGTGATGGAACTTTGTCAGATCAATCCAAAGCAATTATTTTCTTGCATTTGCATGACGAAGCCTGCATGCGTGTGAAGAGCTTCTCTGACTTCTTGACGTTGTCCAATTCCAGATCTCGTTCTTCTGCCGTGCAGAACCAAATTTTGCAAGTTTTTGGTCCCGGAGACGTGATGATTGATGTCTTGTGTGAATTGGTAGCGTTGGAAAGAAAAAATGCTGCTAGAATTGCTAAGTCACTGTTAGATACTTCGCAGTCCGCCTGCGAAGCATTGTTAGAAGGTTTCTTGAAAGAATCATCGCAGAGAAGATTACGTGTTGTGCATATTGTGGTTGGAGATGGCGCGCCGACCAATGAATCCGCTGTGAAGAGAATGTGGCGTGCTTACTCCACCTTCAAGCCGGATGTGCTACGCTATAAGGTGCTTTGCCTAAAGTGTGCCTCGCATCGAGCAAACCTGTGTGTACAGGTGGCCATTTGTAAAACTTTGGTTCGAAATCCAAGTAAGAATAACATGCTTGTGGGTACCTGCATTCGTCTCTTCAAATACGTTCTAGACTCTTATCACGCTGAATTTGTGTATTCCTTGCGACAATATATTCTCAGCAATTTAGTTGTCTTTTCTGACAGAGACCAGATTCCATCGGACAGTCGCACTGCAGCGTATTTACAACTTTATGGGCAAGATGTTTTACCTCCATCGTTGATTCAGGTGTTGAATGTTTGCGTTTCCAAACTGGCACATCTTAGGGAGGGTCAAGCAAGCCGCGACGAATGTTGTGCACTGGTCGCAGCAGAGTTGGCCAAACAGCTTCTCCCGGTGCACGACAAGCCCACTCCAACTCGGTTTTTTCTTTTCTCTGCTTGTGTGAATACCATTCTCCGAATGTTGCTCTTGAATTTGCCTCCTTCTGTTTGGATGAAACTCCGGGAGGTGTGCCCACAAAAGCAGAACGGCAAACGAATGCAACAAATTTTGACATATTTCACGTTGCCAGAAACAGGTGCTGATGTCCGACGAGCTGCCTTGTGTCTGCGCTTGACTATGCATGCTGTCGCAATCACAGCTCAGAAGCCTACGTCTACAGATTCTGTGCCGCCTTTGGTGCGAATGGGACAAGGTGAAGTGAAGAAAAAAAATTCTGCGGACTTACGAGAGATTTTCCCACTTTTGTCCTTAGATCCAGCGATACACTTGTCGCAAACAGTTGCTTCTCTGCTGACAACCGCATGCCACCTGGTCATGCGGTTTTCTTTGTACGAATCATATCCGTACAAAATTTGGACCTTGTCGAAAGTGTACAATCCTGTGACTTATCGAGCATGCGTGCTGGAATTCCTGGAGGAACCCAGGGGGCATAATAATATATATATTATAATAATAATATTAATAATAATAATAAAAATAAAAACAATTGTTTATATAACCATTGGTCTGTTCACAGTAGACCCAAGCATTTCAAAATTTTGCTGATGGTGAGAATGGATGATTCCCAACCATTTATTGATATTTCTCCGTCGTTTTTTCCCAGGAATGAATGCGTGGATGATCTCCCGGCGTCTCCCGGCCTTCTCCAAACATTTTGACACGTTGAAGGGCATCCACGCCGACTTGCATCCTCCACTTGCTGCTGCTGTGGTCAAATTGTCCACCTTAGTCCAGGATATCGAGCAGGACATGGATTTTGGTGAGCTGTCCCTGTCCCAGCAGCATGCATTTTTCCAGTCCAAGTTGTACACGCAATGTTCTTTGCGCAAAGTCAGTGCAAGGTTGTTGAAATCTGAAAGTGAAAGAGCAGCACGGAGTACCTTGCTCAGAACGTTTAGCTGTGGTGAAAGATTTGTTGCAGCATGAAGTGAGTGAGGAGCAGAAAGGCATTCTGCGTTGTGCTGAAACTATGCTGAGCAGCATCGCAGAAGCTGAGATGAGCCGTTTCCTGTTGGAGGATCCCCAGCGCTTGGAGCATTTGGAAGATTGGTTCGGTGAGCAGCATCCCAGCCTAGCTTTGCGTCATTTCACAACTGCGAAATTCACTCTGGCGTGCCCAGAAGACTTTTTGAAAGCCGTTCACCTTGTGGAATCTTGTGTGGATCTGATTCCGCAGGAAAGAGTGAAAGCAGTTCTGAAAGATTACTTGCGGGTGAAAGAGTTGGCTCCCGAGTTGTCCGTTGCATTCCTTTTGGAGCTTGCCTCTTTGAAGCTGACTATTTCTCACTGCCCGGCCGAGTTGGCGAAAGCGCCTGGCTGCTTGGATGATTGCTCAGATTTGCAGTTGAAAGGCAGGGCCGTGAAACAGCGTGGTTCGTTTTAATTTGGTTTCAACACGCAGGAGCCATAATTTTTAGATTTCGAAATATCGAAGTAGCTGCGCAGTCCCACCAGGTCTCAGCAAGACCGTGATGTCTAGTGTACGGAAGCTGTCCCTGGAGAATACCGAGAAGTTTCCTTTCCTTGCTGCTTTGCTAACCAAAGGCCAACAATTTGCTCAAGAGAAATCCAAGCCTGAAGTGAAAAGTGAGCAGCCTGGTCTGGACAAAACGCCGAAGGGCGATTCGTCCCAGGAGCATTCCGTTGCCGCCGCTGCTGAGACAGCAGCGGGTGCTGCCACCTTTGCTGTGGGCCAGCAAGTGATCCTTTCGGCATCCAAACACAAAGATAAGTACAATGAAAAGAAGTGCGAAATCAAGGCATTGCTGAGCAAGAAAGTGAAATTGATCATTCTGGAAGGTTCGGCCAAATTTGAGGAAAAAACGGTGCCGATGGAAAATATCCGTGCTATTCCTGCTGCTAAAGGCACACCAGCAGCCTCAGCAGCGGTCAAGGAACAGAAAGGAGATGAGGCAAATAACGCCTTGGCAAACTCCTTGTTTGGCGACAAATAGATTCGTGGCGATCCCTGCGCAAAAAAGAATTGTGGTTTACAAATCTTGACAATCCATCTCCCCGCAATATATTTGGGTGCATATTAATTGTGGTGATACCCCTGGCCTAATGAACGTTCTATTACTTTGCCTTATGGAAACATATACAACAAATATATACGGTAATTAACGTTAATTTACGTTAATAACCTTAATATACTTTAATGTGTGCCTCCAACTAATGCAACCGAAATTTACATTAAATTGAAATTCAGACACAGTAGAGGCATGATCTCTAACTAAAAGAGTATATGCCATCTTGTGTAAATGAATACTTAGTTGTGGTATTATCTCTGTCTGAAAGATTGTGCACCTTTTTCGTGTGAAAAAGAAATGAGCTCATGGAAAAACTGTACTGAGCAAATCATGCTGTGTTATCTTCATCTACAGAAGTATACACTCACCTGTTCTTTGGTCTCCATGTCCACGAGGATGAAGCTGAGGATCCACCATAGCCAGGATCATTCCAGTTGCTACCAGACACGTCCACTGAAGGACCATCGCCATAACCCCTTCTCTTGTTGGACTTTTGCGTCGCCTTCCTCTTTTCCTTGCGTCTCTGTTTCATCTCATAAGGAATATAGGCACGTCTCTCATGACTGACCATGTCAGCAGGATGTAAGTGAACAAGAATGGGGTTGTGCGCATCTCTGTCTGTAGGTGCAACCATGAAAATGTCGTGATCACTAGACAAGCAAGTTTCATTGACTCTGAATGTAAACTCGCCAATAAAGTCCATGTGATCTTGATCATCAAAAAGGCTAATATCTTCCTCATACTCCAATCGTGCATGTCCCCACTCAACAATCGATAGCATACAACAATCACCACGATCTTTTGTCTTCTTCACGAGTTCTGCGGTGTATGTTTTAGTTGTAATACTTTCCAGATGTGTTGCAAGAAAATCAAGATCTCGATAACTACAGGAAATAAAGTGTTTGACCCTAAACAGGTGGACACTTTCCAAAGTTCTTTCGTCTTGATTGTGTTGCCACATTCATCATCTTGTTGATCCAGTACTGCAAAAGGCTGCATTCGTACGTGGGGACTCCTCCAGATTTCGGAGTCGCAAGGCAACATGCCTTGTTCCCGTCGCCTGCGATCGCGTCAACTTGATAACGGGCACACTCAAAGGCCATGCGCGCAATGCTCTCCCCTGTGATCCCTGGAGAATCTGAGACATGCTTCTGTCCGACGGGTCCGACGAGGTAGACACACACACACACGGCACATGTTCATTCGACCTCGTGAAAGGGGCTCCTCAATCTATGTGTCACGGTTTTTAGTTTTGCCCCAATACACTTCGAATATGGCCCATGATACGTATCTGACTCGTGTGTCACCTTCACCAGTGTTGTAGCCAGCAATTTGTCGAACATAGCCATCTTTGCCGAGACGAGCAGCTACCATCAAGTCATGGTAATCATTGAAGCAAGGAGCGAATCGCGCATCTTCAAGCAATTCCTTGTGAGGATAAAGGCTACCAGCCTCGCAATTCATAAGCAGATGTGCTCCAAGATTCTTGACAACATTGATGAAATAGTTGTTGAACTGTGGCTTGTTTCCAAACTTCTCATTCTCACTGTCAATGGTGTAATCAATGTGTGGTGCAAACTTGTGTAATCGTTCTGGTAGCGGACATTGACTAAAACGTGTTCTGCGCCAGTTTCCAAGATTCCAAAACATCAGTGAGAATTGAGGTGATGACCGGTAAGGATGTGTTTCATCATAGAATGTGGGGTTGAACATGCCTCCACCCAGATACCTGTATGCTAAGCATTGCAATACAGTACAGTAAGGCAAGACCTGGTGATCTTCCACATAACACTCCAATACCATTGTCAATGATCTGAAGTCTTCATCAATTCTTGCTTCTGCTTACGTTGCTGCTTTCTCTGAATTTTCCTGTCGTCGTGGATGTAATCTCGGATCACTGCAGCTATATTGACATGTATTCTTGATATCTTCTAGTTCACTTAGCGGGAGCTGATCTTTATGCATGACAATGTATTCTTCCATCAACTGATCATCTGTATCAGTATGCCAGCGATCTTGATGAGGTGCCATAGTCTTCCTGTACTTTACATGCCAGAACATATGTCGATGTTGAGAAGAAGCTGGATAACCTTGGTTGTCAAAGCCCGCCCATTCACCATGATAACCATCAGAAAAACACCTGGCAAGTTTTCGAAAAACTGAATCATCCTCATTACCAGTGATGTCTGTACCATAGTAAAGTCTCTTGGCAGGTTGAGGTTCAGGAGCTGTGTCATCCGTTTGAATGTCTGCCTGCTGTTCCCCTGATACCTCTGTCTGAGCAGAGCCTTCAGGTGGAACTGGTTCCTCTTGCTGCAAAGAGCTTCCAGGCTTGGGCTCTGACAGAAATGACTCATCTGTCTGACACTCCATGCTCACCGTTGTTGGAGGTGGCACAGTAGGCTCCTGAGGTGTCTTTTGTTCTTCTTCAACTTCAACTTCAACTTCAACTTTTTCTTCTTCTTCTTCTTCTTTTTGATCTTCTTCTTCTTCTTTTTCTTCTTCTTTTGTCTCTGACTTGACAACTCTTTCCATGACCTGCTGCTGAACAGTTTTGTTGCACATGCTGTGCCACTTGATAGTGCATTCAATCAAAGCATCATCTTCTGTTTCCAAAATAATATGCTTGTTCTCACGATTCAGATTTTCAACAGTACCCTTGAACTCAGGATCAGCGCGGCCTTGGTGTTCACGACGTTGAAGAGGAATGTTTGGATCATCATCCATGAGATCTGGCTCCTCAACATCCTCAAAATTGTCTTGTGTGACATTCTTGTTGGCCTTCAATACCTTCTTCAGTTCAAGACGAAATTCATGATACTGTTCATCAGTGATGTCTGTTTGAGTCGACGGTGCAAAGAATTCCATGAAATTCTTGTGAGATTCATCTGCAAGATATTCCATCATAAACAGCATTGAAAAGTAGCCAATTTCTTCAAAAGGTAGTGGTCATCGACCTTCTCTATCAGCTACAGTGAGAACGTTTGGAGAATTGAATGCCATGGTTCGAAGTAGCTCTTGATGTTCTGGTTTGAGCTGCCTGATAATGTAGTGTCCATACCTGTCTTCAGGTCTACCAACTCTTGTTACATCCAACTCAGGTATCTCTGTCTCTCCAGAGTGTCCTGCTTGTTCGGATGTTTCCTCTCTCTCGAGAGCTTACATCTTCTTCCTTCTTTGAACCTTCCTGAGGCCTGACAATGACTTGCAATGTTGGTAGGAACTCTACTTCTTCCTGAGCATCATCATCATCGTCCATGTTGACGTCATCAGCTTGATCTTTTGGCACATGAACCATCTTTTCAGTATTTGCAAGCCAAACAGAACCATCAAGCTTTGTAGATGTATGGAATGCACCTGCACCTAGATCTTTTGCCTTCGTCCTTGCTCGTGCAGATTGATGAAATGCGTCATGTTGGAAGAATTGGTTGTAGGCATGCTCAACGAAGAATCTGTAGGACTGAGCTGTCATTTCCTTCCTGCTGTCCAAGAACTGGGTGAGTTTCTTGTAGGCAAAGTTTGTATGTGGACAGAAGTCCCTTGGAGCTTCATGTTGGTACAGATCAATTGCCAAAACCATCAACTTGGTTTTTAAAACGAGAAGTGGGTTTCTGGATCTGGAATAATGGTCTTCTTGTCATGGGAACCTCGACATCTGGATCTGTCATGTCATATCCCCAAGTGTTCAATTCGAGTCCAATCTCATTTCCATCATCATCATACTTTTTCTTGCAGAAATCTCCCCACATCCTGTTGTTCTCTCTAATCAACCTGTCAAGATGCTTTTGGTAGAATTGATACACAGCCTCTGCAAACCATTCAAGATCTTCTTGAATCATCAGATCACGTTCATACAGAAGCCAAGTTTCTGACCATTGCTCTCGATCAATGGAAAATCTGTCTTCCCAACCTGGTGGTTCACCTTGCCCTCTCATCCAGTCTGTGTGATTGTATCGACAATCATCCAGGAAATATGTCAGTTTGGCAGTATGAACGTAGCCGAGCCATCTCCCAGCTTCTGGTGAAAAGATAACGGAGATGTCCTGTCCATGGAAGCTTCTCCTAGTCAGCACGTCCAATGGACTGCCTTCTCAAAGCAACTTGTTGGAGACTAAGCAATATGCCCATTCTCTGAGAGTGATGACCTTCTTTCCATAGTGATTTGGCTTGATGCTGCCATCTTCATATCGAGCACAAATGATGCCTGCCTCATACAGGACCCAGGGGTTTGATGCAGAAATAGAAGAACGTGTTGCTTGTTCAACTACATAATCATCATCTGGTGCATCTTCTGCTTCCCAAAGATCAACTACCTCTTCACCCATGGGATGATCTTGTGTAGTATCAACTTGTGCATGAGAAGGTGTTGCCTCTTGTTCAGGCTGATCATCTTGTGGAGGTTCTTCTTCTGGAGGCTCTGAACTGCCTGATGAGGAACGGTGTTGTTCCCATTGGCCGGCAGGTTCCTCTCTCCCTCTCGAAAGCGTCCTGCACGTCTTGATGGCTGTTCATATGGTTTTTGCATGGGTTGATCATTCCGTTCAGATTCCTCTCTCTGATGAGAGCTTTCTGACAACAAACAACAAACCATGAACTGACTATCAACCTCTGATGTCAAAGGAAAACCAAAGACAAGCTTCCCATAGTTTTGTGGGATCTTTTGGCCCATGAACTGCCATGCTGTTGTTCTGATAGTTTCAGGAATGGGGCCTCCACGTGCAAAACCGACACCCTTCTCACGTCGAACATGTCCATATCTAACATCAGCTGGCCAAGTTCTTCCAGTCACTCGAGGTGGCAGCATGTGTCCTCTTCCAGGTCTCAGGATGTTGCATGCCAATGTTGGTAACTGATCTTGAAGGTGCAAAAACTCAGCTGGAACGTCACCGTGAAATAGAACTACCCCGTTCTTGGTAAGGAAAAGC